GATGTGCACAACCCTCCTGAGGCCTCAGCTTACGCTGATATGATGTTACCTTCGCTGCCTATTGGTAGCAGCTTATTGGGCCAAGCAAGTCCCTCCTGATGAGAAGAATTATAAAGGAACATTGCAAAGGGTGAGGTCGAGGATTGTGGCCATTCAGGTAGTCTTAGTATATGTGGAAGACAATCAGACGTTCATGATGACCCCAATTTTTTAATACACCTTGAAGTAGACATTTACTACCTCTACCCCCTTCTTCTGGTTACCGCATCTTCTTTGATTTGAAGAAACCATTCCTCTCCCATCTGGTGACATAGTTTGAATGGGGCTGAGCCCACCTGCCCACCACAGACACTAATTTGCAGTACATGTACCCACTGTCCCCTGTAGGGATTGATCCTGGGATATCCACAAGATACCCACTGGACACTCAATTAATCTTTTTTATAATTTTTTCCCCACTGTTACTAGGAGAAGCTCTTTCTTCCATCTGATCTAGAAGAACAAGGGCATTCATTGTGGAGAAACCACAATATAAAATAAAGCTGTCACAGAGCCTCTGGGTGCAGTCACCCATGGAGTGCCTCCCACCGTTGTCTTCATGCACTTTGGGGAGACAGCCAACTTGCTCACATTTGCCCAGGCAGTTCCAGTTGTGTTTCTTTCTCTTGTAACCAAATCTTTCTAAACAAAAGAGCCCAAAACATAAAATTATCTCACTTCAATCATTCTATAAACCACTTTTTTGTTTTTACATATAGAAGAGGGGTTGCCATTCAGATGCTGAATTGGCTGCCAATTTAGATGGAAATGAAAGTAACCAAACGAAGAAGAGTGCAGCCGACAAGAACAGGAGAGCACCATCTTCCTCTCTGCAAGAGGCAACCACTCCTCAGAGTCAGCAAATTATTTTCTCAAGGGAATGGGGTCCCACTGTTGCTCGATCTCCTCAAATAAGCCTGAATAAAATGTCAATCTAATGTTAAATTCCACAACGTTTAGATAATAACAACAAAATCAACTCACAGACCAGACACATCCAGGAACACCAGCTCGGAATCTCTGCTTTGAGATTCTAGTGAGGACACCACCTGCAGAGCTGAGTTCCCTACTTCCTTGGACTTCCTCATTCCTCCCTCACTTCCATCACCAACACAAAAATTTTCAACACTCCATAAGCACTGCAGTTCGTATGATAAGAATAGAAGTGAAGAATGAGATTGCTGGGCTTAGCAGCCAAATCACTCAGCACACCACTGTAAGGGGTACATGATTTAAATGTGTGCCTTAAGAAAATTACAAATTACAGTGTTATGGACCATCAGGCTGCTTGTATACAGTTAAAACTGTAGATATTAAGTCCCTAAAGACAAAGTTCTACTTTATTGTGCTTAAATAGAGGATAGGATTTGCCAATTATCTGTTGCCTATTAGCTTCAAGCTTCCCTTTTTATACATGACTTTAAACTGGGGCTAGGAGTCATATATTTCCCGTCAGACCCCTTTGACAACTGGTTTTCCATTAGGTTCCATTAGTGGGAGGCACTGGCAAGAGCTTGGAAGGCAGGAGGTCCTGAGAAGAAAACTCATTTAGCGTGTCTAGGTTGGCTAGGCATCCCTCCAGCATCATTTCCTAGTAATGCTCCTGCCTTGCTGCCCCTACCAGCCTGCCCGCCCCCACCTTCCACGGTAGTCTGAGCACCAGCTGGTCTCACCCCTTCAGTTGTCCAAACACTAACTAGGGTACCACACATCAATCAGAGCTCCAAGCATCAGTTCTCTAGACTGCTTCAAGATTCTAGATTCTCTTTTATTTTAGTCTATCTCTACAGATAGTAGTTGCTTTCTTATGTTATTAATGTTGGGTTATGTCAACATCACTTCTTGCTCTTTGAGCTTCCTGATATCCTGTATTATCCCATTTCCTGTGTTAAATCCCTTCCATTTGAAATAATTAACATGGTTGCCTTGACTCAACCCTGATTGATAACAATTATTAGAGCAAAAAGTTTAGTTTGTAGGATAGAAGTTATCTTTTTCTGAAAGAATTATATGAAAAAAGTAGTTTCTTCAAATGCCAAGATCCTTGCTGCAAGGAAGTATTGAATAGTCCCAAAAATCCACAAAAGGCAACTCTGAAAAATTGTTGTGATTGTTCTGTCACTGATACCTAAGCCCTGGGACTCGTATAAAGCCTAATCTTAAAGAGTCTGTCATAATTGGCATTTATATGCCTAAATCTGTTTCGATTCTTCTTGAATCTGTTTCTGTACCTGCCAACTAAAGTTAATAAATACTTCAGAACCAACATTCTAAGGAATTTCCTGTCAATTATGCCAGGGAGTTTGGCCTGGATTTTAAATGAGTTAATAGATTTTTTTTTTTTTTAATTATTGAGCCCTGGCTGGTGTGGATCAGTGGATTGAGTGCTGGCCTGTGAACCAAAAGGTCACTGGTTCAATTCCCAGTCAATGCACATGCCTGGGTTATGGGCCAGATTTCCCAGTTGGGGGGAGTGTGAGAGGCAACCGATTGATGTATCTCTCACACAGGAATGTTTCTCTCCCTCTCTTTCTCCTTCCCCTCTCCCTCTCTCTAATAAGCAAATAAATAATATCTTTTTAAAAATACTTATTGAAAATTAAATATTATGTATTAAATTATTTTAAATCAATTTAAATTCAAATATTTTTAATTTAAAATTGAGCAAGTATATAAACCAGTTCTAGTTGGGGATGGGGATGGTAATTTTTTACACTGAAATAGCAGCCTTCATTTTATGAAAGAATTCACCCAAAGGTATCACAAAAAATTTAAGTAGTTTAGATATACAAACATGTTCCTAAAATATGGGATTACATTTTCTTTCCTTTAGAAACACCTATTCCAAACTAATAATTATGGTTGCTTCTTGGATATAGGAATTGTTTTATTATTGTCTTTTCTTTTTATGATATGCACATTGTTGAGAACTGCCCTGTTTGGTTTCAGAAGCTGTAACCACCCCATGGCTAAGGCTGAATAAAGGACCTTGGGACCATAAGCCACTTAGGAGACAAAGCTCATCTTCCTTGTAAGGGCACCACCTCTGCCTCCTTTCTTTTCACCCTGATTGGCCCTGGACAGATGACTGGTTAGCCAAAGACTGGTAAGATTCCACAAAAGAGGGACGATCTAAGACAGGCATGGCCACAAAGGGGCCCTCAGGGAAGGACTTGAGGGGCTATAGAAAAAGAGGGTGATGGACCCTCACCCCTTGGCTTTGACATAGCTTGAGTCCTCATTCTGTCTGCAAGAAGTTTTCTAATCTCTTGGCTGCCTTACTTCTGCCTGACTTAAGCCTGAAACAAGGCTTTAAGCCTGAAACAATTCTGGAGGTGGGTGCCACCCTGTGCTGGAAAGGATGGGTTCCCCAGGGTGATCAGGCCTAAGAAAGAATGCATAGAATCCTATGAAACCTACTTAGCTAATACCCTTAATTTAAATGAGAAGGGTCCAAGCAGGAAGTGACTTTGTTCCCCAAAGTTTTATGGCCCTGTAACTATCTGACCCTGACTCAGAATAAGCCCTCAGAGTTCTTTGAATGTTATCTATTGTTTAATCATTTCTGCCTGACAATGATTGATGAGCTTTACATATACACCCTGTATTCCTGTGCAACAAAAGCCTGTCAAGGCAAGGGTCAGGGACCTCTCCCATTGAGAGAGTGATCTTGCCATCCCTTTTCCTCCAAAGGACTTGGTAGTCCATGTGAATTTGTCTTGTATCTCATCGACAACTCCTCAGACCCCAGGAGCCAGAATCCGAGACAGCACATATTACGTTTGTTAGAATGAAAACATTTCAAAATTCTTCCAGTACAAATTAAAATTTTTTGCATTTGAAAACTAGGATTTACATTTTGTTTTTAAGGAAAGTGCCTTTTCAACAGCAATCTACTGAGTACCTATGGTGTGCCTGGCATTGTATTGAGAGAACCCCAAAGTCAAATTCCTACCTCAGGGAATCTCAATCATGTTGGCAAGTTTCATAGGCATCTTTGCAATAAGTAGCTAACATGTGATAGATTCTTCATAAACATTTGTGTAATAACAACATGAATGTACTATCAAAGGTATTTTTTTATTTAAACTCTCATTTCATAGAGGATTAGCCCTATTCTGCATGTTCATTGTACATAATCATATTTCACTTAGAATTATATTTCTAAGATACACATCACTCACTTTTTAACTACTCTGAAATCAGAATGGGACTTACTATCAATGTAACTTTTTACACTATTATTTTGGAGATAATTTTTACATTTTCTCTTTTATAGTGGTAAATAAAATACCAGTATGTTTTACATTAATGACATCTTAGGTTGAGCAAAGTACAATATATATTATATTCTCTACATATTAGAAGATACATATGAAGATTTAGGCATGCTTCCCCGAGGTTTAACTGTAAAGGTTTTCATAGGGCCATTCAATTTGATGAACGTCCAAGTCTCCAATGATTATATGAAAGTTGCGCCTACTCAGTTATAAATGTTAAACAGCTGATAAGTAACAACATGGTAAAAAGTTGTCTATTTATTTCTCAAATTTTAAAAATTACTATTGAATTTTAAACATATCTCTCCAATTTTAAACCTATTCAAGGAAGAATGTATTTAAAAATTATGTGCATTTATAAGCACTTATATACTTAAAAGATTTTCATATTTTAGTGTTTGAAATTAATCAAAGATTTAAAAGATCTGAGAAATATTAAAATGATTAAATGATATAAGAACTCTGAGAAGTTATAGGAACAACACTGATAATACCTTCTAGGAGAGATGAAATTTAAAATCAAAATGAAATGCTATGGCAAAGACAGACAAAGAATGCTGGAAAAAATTAATAATGACAAAAAGAACAAAACATCACCAGAATAATTTTCTTCACCAGAATAAAATGTAACTCATCGGTTTCCTTAACTACACAATACATGAATCACTTTGAGTGCTGCAATCTAAGACAGTAGGCAAATGAGATAAATACAGCAAATAAATATAAAAAGCTATTTTATTAATAATAATTGACACCTACAAATTCTGTGAATGTTATTCCAGATACATCAGGATACAATCATAGTCCTTTCTTCATCTCTGAGCCTTTTTTTTTTCTTTCATATTTTCTCATGGGCAGGTTTTAGCTGATGTGGCTGTTTGGAGTAGAGGGCAGGAAAAAATTGGAAAATCCATCCTTTCAATCCAGCGACTGTTACCTGTCCCTTATCCTCTCATCCTATGATGCCAGCTCTTCCAAAGTATCTTCACTGAGGACCTGATAGAGCTGCAGTTACCTGCTCTTTCTGCCACCATCCCACACTGCCTTCCTGTCCAGGATTAGGAATACCGAGTTTGGAAGTACATGGGCCCTTCACTCCTTTCTCTGGGCCCTCACTCACTTCCTGCTCCTGACAACTCAACGCACAACTGGCCTGCCCACAGAGCATAACAGAGTGGCCCACCCTTGAAAGAGGGCAATACAGCTCCTTTTTCTATTGTGTATTTTAGCAAATAGTTTTAAACTTGACAAATTTTCATCACTATAAAATAAAATGGGAAATTTACTAAACACTGAACAAAAATGGGAAAATGGTAACAAACACTGAACATAGAAAAAAAACTCCTGATTTTTACCATTAATGTTACATCAAAATCTGAAAGACAAGAAAGAGGTTGTAACTAAGAAAAATGCAGTGCTTTTGTGGCTATGAATTTATAAAAATATTACTATGAGTTTCTAATTACATCGTTATTACTGAATAATTCTCCCTTGATTTCCAGGTTCCAATTTTTTTCTAAGTTTTCAAGTATATAATTATATGGACATTTTTGGTAGCGTGGAAAGGGCAAGACAAAACCCAGATAAAATTCATTTCAGTGAAATTAAGTCTAAAATGTACATAAGCAATAAAATTGTCTTTAACCACCAACTTACACCATACACAAAAGTAAACTCAAGATGCACAAAAGACTTAAACATAAGTCATGACACCATAAAAGTCCTAGAGGAAAACATAGGCAGGAAAATCTCAGATATTAGACACAGCAATATTTTCACCAATATGTCCCCTAGAACAAGGGACATAAAGGAAAGAATAAACAAATGGGACCTCATTAAAATAAAAAGCTTCTGCATGGCTAAAGAAAACATTGGCCAAAATGAAAAGGAAACCAACCATATGGGACAACATATTTGCCAATGATACCTCAGACAAGGGTGTGAGATCTCCAAAATATACAAAGAACTCATACAACTCCACACCAGGAAGACAAACAATCTAATTAAAAAATGGGAAAAGGACTTGAACAGACACTTCTTCAAGGAGGACATACAGAGGACCCAGAGATATATGAAAGGATGCTCAGCATCACTAGCCATCAGAGAGATGCAAATTAAAACCACAAAGAGATACCGCTTCACACAGGTCAGAATGGCCATCATTAATAAATCAACAAACAACGAGTGCTGGTGATGTTGTAGAGAAAAGGGAACCCTAGTACATTGTTGGTAGGAATGCAGACTGGTGCAGCCACTGTGGAAAACAGTATGGAATTTCCTCAAAAAAACAAAAATGGAATAGAATTGCCTTTTGTCCCAGCAATTCCACTGCTAGGATTATACCCTAAGAATCCTGAAACACTAATCCAAAAGAACCTATGTACCCTGATGTTCATAGCAGCATAATTTACAATAGCCAAGTGCTGGAAACAGCCTAAGCACCCATCAGTAAATGAATGGATCAAAAAACTGTGGTATATTTATGCAATGGAATACCATGCAGCAGAAAGAAAGAAGGAACTCCTACCTTTCGAAACAGCATGGATGGAACTGGAAAGCACTATGCTAAGTGAAATAAGCCAGGAGGTGAAAGATAAACACCATACGATCTCACCTATAAGTGGAACCTAATCAAGAAAATAAACAAGCAAGCAAAATATAACCAGAAACATTGAAACAAAGAAAAAACTGACAGTAACCAGAGAGGAGGGTGGTAGGGATAATGGAGGAAAGAAGGGAAAGGGTTATCAATGACCATGTGTAAAGGACAAATGGACAAAGCCAAAGGCGGGTAGGATTGAGGGTGGGAAGTGCTGGTGGGTGGGGCAGGGGAGGAAAGTGGTGGTGAGAAAACTATATTCAAACATTAATAAAAAATGATTAAGAAGAAAAAATATATAATTGTCTTTAGAAGGACATTGTCAGATTGGATGGTAGTATGGGTTGCTTTTTTGTACAAAATATTTTCCAGAAAGCCTTCTGAAAACGTCTGTGACACAATGGATACAAAAAAGGATTGATGAGGGAATTACACCACTGAAGCCAAAATGTGATCTCGTACACAATTGCCTCAGCTGCTCCGAACGTGTAAAATTGCTCACCTGACTTGTAAATTGAATAAACAAATGTGAACAGAGAATAAGGAGCCCAGCAAATGATGAAAACACCTAGGAGAATGGCCAGTGATTTGGCTAATTTCTTGGCTTGAAGCAGTTCAAGATATTCTTTTTGGTTATCTGAGCGAGAGAGGGAATCCATTTTGGAAGCAATTATATCTCTCTTCTTCTGGGTTCTTACAGAAAAAGAGAGACTGCTCTTTCTTTGTTGTCTCCTGAAATTAAAGGGTGTTGCGGCTTCCTTCAGTTCAGCAAGAGATGCCTTCGAAAACAGTCGACACTTGAACAAGTGTTTCGAGTTACCTGAAGAGGCAAGACTGAGTTCAGGAGGGCTTTGCCCCCTATTGAGACAACTGCGCTTTCGTAGGCTCCAGTAAATATAGATATTGAAATAAGCTATTAAGAAGACTGGGGCTAGAAATTCCAGGAATGACGTGATGGCAAGGACATACCATTTTGAAATAAATCCAGGACTACAATGCCTCTCTTTTGTCTTCCAAGAATATGAAATTAGAATTAGTGGCCCATTCACTAAGAAGGCCAGCACCCAGACGGCCACCATCAGACCCACGATCTTCCATATCCCAGTGTGTTGAGCTCTGTAAGAGAACTAAGAGAGACCAAATAAATTATTTTCAGTATTATCGAGCTATGTTGATTGCATAAAGCATACCTTAGGCCCTCAGGAGTTTTAGGGATGTGCGAGAGGGGAGGACATTAGCTGGACCTGGGTAACAGGACGTGGACCAGGACAGAGGGTTCGGTTTCAGTGGAGCCTGAACCACGATGCAGACTTTCTTAGTGGTTTTTAAAGAGGAAGGGTTTAACCCTCAAGGTTGAACCTCTTGACACTGTAGAACATGTCAAAATCTGAACTATTAAACAGCTGCAACTGGGTGCATCTTTTCATAGTGTTTCCAGACCTGCCAGCTAGGTCATGACCAGTATTTTGTTGTTGTTTTGGTATTTTTTGTTTTTAATTAAATAGGATTTTCCATGTCAAAATGTATCACACATTGTAAGGGTATGTATGTATATATTATTTGATGAAATTTTGCTTTGCGAATGTAGGTGTATGTATATAGAAAGAAATGCACATACTGAATCACGGTATAAAATGCATTTCTCACTGTAGTCACAGTCAAAAAATGTGAAAGCATCTGGCTTTCCTGATTCTAGTAAAGGAAGAATCTACTGTATGGTTCATGCTGATTCTTTAAGGTGGGATCCAAAAGACAAAGAGCTGCCCTGGCTGGTGTGGTTCAGTGAACTGACCACCAGACTTCGAACCAAAGGACCATCAGTTCGATTCCCAGTCAGAATCATGCCTGGGTTGCAGGCCTGATCACCCTCTTGGGCCCCTCAAGAGGCAACCACACACTGATGTTTCTCTCCTTCTCTTTCTCTCTCCCTTCCCCTCTTTAAAAAAAAAAAAAAAAAATTTAAGAGAGAAGGAGCCCTGGCTGGTGTGGCTCAGTGGACTGAGTGTTGGCCTGAGGACCAAAGGGTCACCAGTTTGATTACCAGTCAGGGCACATGCCTAGGTCTTGGGCCAGGTCCCCAGTGGGGGGCATATGAGAGGCAACCACACACTGATGTTTCTCTCTCTCCTTCCCTTCCCTTCCCATCTGTCTAAACATAAATAAATAAATAAATAAATAAATAAATAAATAAATAAATAAATAAATAAATAAAATTTAAAAAAAGAGAGAAAGAAAAACATCACTTCCAAGAAGATGACAAACAAAAAGAAACTTGTTTATATCAGCTGTGGTGAGCTACTACAGTGTTATCAAGCATTAGCAAATCATTTCTTTCTATAAAAGTTTCCACGTGACGAAAATGGTGCCAAAGCTATGGCTAATCACTTGAACAGACATGCATGTGGCGAGTGCCACTGTCTTTTTTTGAGGGTGAAGAATATTCTACATCCACTTATTCACAACAACAGCTTCTTAGGGGGAAATGAGGTTCTCTGAGTGAGGCTTTGCTCTCGGAAACAGGCCCCATGACCTTTGATAAATCCGGAAATTCTCAACAATTTCTTCTGTAAGAAATTGAAAGATACCCCAGACAAACCACCCCCTGACCTAAGGGAGAAAGAATGAACCAAGAATTTTGTAAGGGGACCTGTTTTAGATTAGGAGAGTTTTTTGTAGCCAAAATGTTCCGCACTTCTCTGATTTCCTCACTTGAAGGGAAAGAACTGGAACGACAGCCTGCCTCCCTTTTCACCAACTTTCTTCTACTATTTCATCTGTAAATTTTTATATCTTGTTCTGCCATGTTCTCTCATTTTTATTATATAAAAGGGCGCAACACTGCCAAGCACTGTCTCTCGTTGATGGATTATGCTTTCTGGAAAGGGCTCGATGATGGCTGGAAATACGATAAAACTGGTTTTGTTTCTTTTTTAAACTGAAATATTTTTGAAAACTGCAGGGAAGTGGCTTTTGGTTGTTTCTTTTTTTTAAAACCAGATTATAGGTATGTCTGAGGCTGAGCTAAAATGTACATGGTGCTAAAAACAAGCTCCCATCTACGATGGGCTTTTTTGCCTCTGCTTTTCATGCCACTAATAATACATCTCTGGCACTAAATCTAATGATTATGAAGATGGTAACAATACCCAGGTGGTCATAAAACTGCATCTAGGTTTCTAATCGCTCTGTTCAGCCTTTGTAATAATGTAATGCAGTATGGTAGAAAGTGATCCCCTTTCTATTATGCATAAGGTCAGATGGGATAATGGACATCCAAGGGAATTGAGGAGACGATGCCAGTCTCTGTGTCTCTGCCTGGTACTTTTGAGAGACAGCTCAAGCATTGCGTGTACCCAGACTCAGGACTGTTGGAGTGGCCCCCCTGAAATCACCCAGGAGCCCACCTCTCACTCACTACTGAATATGTCCACTACTCAGAATACTGCCTCTTATCCTGCAACAATACTTTCCATGTTCTTGATTTTACCATGAAGCATTTATTTCATCTGCAGGTAAAGAAATACTCTCCTCTCACTGTCTTAATTCTGCATGCATTTCAATTTCCCTCCCTCCAGCTACACTGTCTGCATTCCCCTGCCCACTGCTGCTTCAGCCCTGGAATCTGCCCCTCCAGAAAACTCGTCTGAGCTCTGTCATCACCACCTGCCACCTGCGTGGAGCCTTCCTTCTTCAAATTGCGGTCAGATTTCCATTTCCCAGGCTCAGCACACAGCCCTGCCTTATCACACTGTCTCCTCTATATTTGTCTACTGCAAGAGGCCAGCTTCCCCATGACCACTTCCTATAAGCTCCAGTCAGCTTTGAAGGACTCCTAGTTTCACACTGCTGTGTTGCGGCTCAGGCCCATACCAGGTTCCCCAGCCCAGGGTTCCAAGGCCAGTAAGAAAAGTCCCCATAACTTCTAACTGTGAAAATCAGCGGATCTGTGGCTGAGTAGGACAGCAGGTTACTGGAGCCCCGGGCGTTCCTCTTGGAGGCCCACTTGGACACACTCAAACTCACTCTCTCTGAGCTCCAGCGCTGGGGCAGCAGCTCGAAACTCACCCTGGACATGTGGGGAGAAACTGAATTGTCCGTCACCGGAGCAGGGGACAGATAACAAAAGGATAGTCAGGCTCCTTTAAAGTTTGTCAGTAAAACAAAAAAATAGAGTTAAAAATTTTTTTTGCTCAGTGGGTTGGGCTTTGTCCTGCAAACCAAAAGGTCACCATTTAATTCCCAGTCAAGGCATGTGCCTGGGTTGTGGGCCAGGTCCTGGATTGGGGGCGTGCGAGAGGCAACTAATCAATGTTTCTCTCCCTCTCTTTCTCCCTTTTCCCCCTCTCTAAAAATAAATAAATAAAATCTTTAAATACATACATACATACATACATTGTTTTAAAATTTTTTTTTGCTCGGAGACCCAAAATTAACAAGTACATACTCTTCTAAGGATGATAAATTAATGGTTTGACTTACAGCGTTGGAGACTGACTGGTATCGATCGTAGCTGATGAGTACGATGTTATATACAGATGCTGTACACAAAAGATAGTCAACAACGAGCCAAAATGCACAGGTTTGATTTTCAAGGTTCTCATCGAATAACTTCTGAGGGATGTACAAAGGAATGGAGATCACACCTATCCAGGGAAAGAATAGGGTAAAAAATAGCACATATTAATTAAAACAAAGAGGTATAGTACACCACACATTGATGTATCTGAATTGACCAAAAATGGATTGATTATAATTTAGAAATTCATGGTATTTCATCAAAAAACTCAGGACTGATTTCCTACACATTCTTTAAATATCATTTTTAGTTCTGGCTCTGTGGCTCAGTGGACAGAGCACCAGCCTGAGAACCAAAGTGTTGCTAGTTCAATTTCCAGTCAGGGCACATGCCCGGGTTGCAGGCCAAGTCTCCAGCAGGGGGTGCTCTAGAGGCAACCACACATTGATGTTTCTCTTCCTTTCTTTCTCCCTCCCTTCCCCTCTCTGAAAATAAATAATTAAAATCCTTTTAAAAAAATAAAATAAGTACCATTTTTATAATAGCTGTCATAAGCCTCACACCTTCAATGGCTCCTTATTACTTTCCAAGTTAAGTTTAGGTTCCAATCTGTATTTTCAATCACATACAGCATGAGTCATCTCTATGTTCATGATGCAACCCAAACAGGATGGGCCACTCATCCCTCAAGATGTATCTCACATGTTCACATCTCGTTGCCGTGCCAACAGCGTGCTTTCTTCCCAGAATATCCTCCTCTCTTCTACTGAAGTCTATTCACTTCCTTCTTATGCTCCACTCAGTTCAAGAAATGCCTTTCTCATCATTTTTCTTGAAACTTCCTTGGCAGAAGTGACTTTTCTGTCACCTGCACTTTCCTAGCACTTCACTTATCTCTCCCTCCTTCATGTACAAAAATATTCTACTTTGTATTGTCGTCATTTTTTAACTTGTTTCTGCTGAGGTTTAGGACCAGGTTGTAAGTCAGTCTTTGTATTTTTCACAACTCATAGAACTGACCAAAATGACTTAAATAAATTAATGATAGCTAACATCTACTGTGCAATTACCATATGCCAGACACTGTGCTTTGTGCATTACATATACCGTCTCATGTAACCTTCATAGGAACTTCTGTGAGGCAGGGACATGCTAAGTTAACAAATAAAGAACCTGAAGCTCAGAAAAGGGGACATAATTAACCCAAGGTCTACTTAGCTAGTAAGTGAAAGATGGATTTGTGTGGAGGCGACTTCTCCGTGGGAGTCCCCTGGGTGCCACAGACACGTGTGAATGAACAAGAATATGGCCAAGAGATGATGAGCTCTGTTTGGTGGTGAGGAGGCATGGGCTGTGGCCAGTTTCTCCGAGGAGAAAAAGGCCCCGAGCGCCCTCTTCCATAGCCTTTTACTGGGTTGTAATACACAGGAGTACAGGGTGGCAAGGATCAAACAGTAGATAACATTACAAAGAGGTCTGAGGGTTTCAGTCTGAGTCAGTGTCTGTCAGGAAGAGAGTTGCAGAAATTTTGGGAGACATGCTCATTTCCTCTCGGACCTTTATCATATGAATGAAAGCACTCTTAGCAGAGCAGATTTCACAGGTTTATCAGCAAGTCTTTGTGATGCCAGATTTTTCCCAGACATGCTCTAGCAAGGCAAAGAGCTTCACCCCTCCCCATCGGGTATTCAGGCTTAAGGGTATTAGAGCCAAGAAGTGCTTCTCCCAGAGGACCTGGGGACTTGGGCTTTGACAAAGCCGGGGGTCCATTGCTCTTTGTTGCAGCCCCCCCTCCTTCAGTCCTTCCATGAAGGCCTCCCAAGTGATCGAGTCTGGCTTAGGTTGCCCCCCGCTGTGAGGGGTCTTACCTGTCATTGACTTCCAACCAAGCTTTGGGGGAAGGGAGAGGAATTGAGGCAGCATTTGCTACCAGAGACAGGCTTTGTCTCCTGTGGCTCACATTCCAGAGGTCGTCTCTAGCCCTTAGCCACAGAGGGTAGAGATACAATTCCTAAAACCAGGCAGAGCCATCTACAACAGACTTGCAACCAGGCAACGTGACTTCAGAACCTCTGATTTAAGCTCTACCCTTCACTGAATGAGCAAATTGACTGTGAAAAATGACTAAACTGGGCCCCTTTTCCTTGAGCTTTGCAGGGTTTTTTAACTGCATTGACACTTCAGACAGGTGGCACTACTCACTAAAAACACAACCCATTAGGTAGAAGCTTACTTGAAATCTTATGTTGTTGAGTATTGTCTCCCTGACTCCACTTTGCTCAAGCCGGTATTGTCTCCATGGCCTTTAAGCTAATACCGTAGTTCCTGCTTTAATCATTAAAGAAATTCTGCTTAGGGCTTGAGTTTTTACTAAAATAGCTCCTCCCACTTTCCTTTCCCTTGACATAAAAGAAACCTGAACTCTTTACTTTCTAAAGATACATTTGAAGAACTACTAGGGCTCCCTAGTAATTCTACTAGGGAGAACTACTACTTCTCAGCTGGCACCTTCTCAGTCAATAAACCTGTCGCTACTTTAAACTCTGATCCTTTGAGTTTTGGCCTTTTAAAGCATTGGGTACACCAACTTTGGACAAGTAATACCATGAGAATATAATGGTGTGATTTCAGAACCAGAGAAAGGAAATGCAGAACGTAGTATTCTGTACCTAGATTTATATACAAATGTGAGAAACCAGACACCATAGCGATGAAAAGTTGTGTGTTCCGTTCTTATGTGTAATTCACATTGCCTGCTTGTTTGTGTTTCAGTTATATTTTTTATAACTAAACTTCCTTATGGTGCCTTCCATCTCAAACGTGTGTGAATGTGTGTGCTCACCTATGGTATAAAATAGGCCACCAGGTTCACCTGAGATAAATCAAAGTATCTTCAAAACAGAGACATCTATTATATTTCAGCCCAGAGTTGAAGCTTCCAATCTCCCACAAATGAGTATTTTTCATACACACACTCACTGTCCCCACAGAGAGAAAGAAGAGTACAATTCCAGAAATCATTTGCATCACAGACGCCCATTATCTTACTAAAGGTTAAAGAAAGGGTGAGAGTTAAAGAATCTTTTTCACACTGACATTTGCATGAAAGAGGAGGAGTGTGTGCAGCCTCAGGAGCTGTTTGAAATACCAGCTTAAACTAGCCTCTAGTTTACCCTTTCGGTTTTAATGACACCCTGCTGTCACCTCTTGTCTGTGTAATGTTTGAGCACAAATGTCATGATCAGCACCTGAATCTTATTGAATGGTAGAGCTATCTGTGGGCCATTCCAAAACAATTTCCAAAACTGTGAATCGGAAATACTTCTATAATATATTGTGCCTACAACTGCCACACTGCAATCATGCTTCCTGGTCAAAGGGACTTGATGAATAAAACTAAGAGCCACTTCCTTTAAAAGAACAATAAGCCTTTGGCACGACAAATAAAAGGAGTGGGGGGAGCAAGAAAAAACAAACTATATGAAAAGACGCTGGTGAAAGCGATAGAGTAGGCAGTCACAAGCAGAGCAGGAACAGCAGGCCAGATATGGAATGTCACCAGTACAGAAAGTCCCAGACAACAGGCAAAACTAGAGAAAACAGCTATCATAGGTTAGGGCCTTGTCCCAGGGTGACCTTTCACCCACCAGCAGGTAGTTTAGACCCCTGACCTTTCATATTACTAGTCCAGTGGTTTAGACCTCCTTAGAGGAGGAACAAGGTGGGGCAGGAGAATAGGCTCACAGGATCCCAAACAAGCCCTTGCGTGACCACTCCCTTAAGCATTAAGACCTCGGGACAATGAGGCATCAAATGATTTAAGAACAGAGCCTCAGGGCTATTGAGCACAGAGACCAGAGAACAGAGTTCTGGTCAATCTAGAAATAAGATCTAGGTCTCAGTTATATTTCTGCTCCAGGCCCAGAAAAGCAGCAAAACCAGACAAGGGACATCATGGCTACCTCAGGTCCAGTTGTGATGACTAGTGAACCTTGCCTTGGTGCCTATCAATCAGTACAGACCAAGACCCTAAAAGGACACACCTGGAAAGCTGATGAATATTCCTTTCAGACCCTTCCTTGAGATCTCCCTGAAATTCCCTTCCTATAGAAAACAGATAAAAAACTTTAAGACGAAGGACCCAGAACATGCTCTCTCTTTCTAGAGCACCCCCACACCTTCCTCCACTTCTTTCCTTAGCTGTGTCTCTCTTGCTTTCTTTCTTTTAGGCTCAAGGTTCCTCCTTTTGCTTCTGGAATTTATTTTCTGGGTCCACATAGCCCAGCTGGCTCACTTCTTCTGCCTCTGTGGTTATCTTTTTTTTTTTTTTTTTTAAGATTTTATTTTTCATTTATCTTTAGAGTGGGAGAGAAGGAGAGAAATAATGTATGACTGACTCTCGTGAGTCCCTTGCTGGGAACTGGCCTGCAACCCAGGCATGTGCCCTGACTGGGAATCAAACCATGTGATTATCTTTCTTAAAGGCTAAATACACTTCTTTCACTAGAGTCCTTCACTCTGAATTCTCTCTTTGCTGAACTCAAGAACCGAGGTCTAACCAAGGTGGGGGTGAGGGGTGGGGAGGAAGGGGTTGAAGAAACAGGAGGAAGAAAGGTGGAAGGGGAAGAAAGAAAGAAGCCCTATAAACCCCTAGATGACTTGCCCACCCCAGCTGTCCCCCACCTCTCTGGTCTCACCTCTTGCTAATCCCTTCACCCACCACTGCCCCCTCACTCCATTCCAGCCCTTCTGGCCTCAGATACACCACACAGACGCTGCCTCAGATCCTTGCATTTCCCTGGGCATGAAATACTCTTCCCCCAGAATGCATCTTCTGTTTGCTCAAATGAGTCGTGATCAGTGAACCCTACTCTGGAAATTTTGATCGCAACCTCCACCTCAAACACACTTTCTCTCTTTCGTCCCTGCTATGTTTTTCTCAATATCAATGATCATCCTCTAAAATGCTATGTAATTTTTTTACTTATTTATATTGTTTAATGTCTGTCTCCCCACCTTTGCCCACAGTAGAAATAGAAGCACCATGAGGGAAGCAATTTTTGTCTTTCCTTTTATTGCTATATCTTCAACACCTCAGAGTTCTTGGTTCACCATCAGTGGGTATTGAATGAAGAGAGGAGGATAAGGAAGCCCAGTTTGCTTGAAAATTGCCACCAATTCAGTCTGGCATCTCCCCTTCTTTCTGAAGCCTGCTAAGAAGCCGTATCTGCCATGAGAAAAATGACAATCAAAAGGTGGTGGGGAGCTAAAAGGCCCAGTGAATTCTCTGGGCCAAAAAAAGACTCGGTGGATAACAGTGTGTTCATAGAGGCTGTTACGGACCGAATATTTGTGCTGGCCTCTAATTCATTGGTATGTCGAAGCCTCAGCCTCCAGGGCAGCTGTATTTGAGATGGGGCCCTGTACGGAAGTGATTAACATTAAATGAGGTTGTAAGGGGGAAGCCCCAACCCCACAGGGTTAGTGTCCCACTAAGAAGAAACACAAGAGAGCTTGCTTGCTCACTCCCCTCTCCTCCTATACTCAGAGGAACTATGCGATGATGCATCGAGAAGGCATCAACAAACCAGAATGAGTGCTCCGGCCAGGAACCGAATCAGCTGGCCCCGGACCTGGGGCCTCCCAGCCTCCAGAACCACAACAGATCTTGTATAAGTCAGATCGTGGTGTTCTGTTACAGCAGCACAAGCTGACTAACTCGGGGTTAGAGAAGGGAAGAGTCGTGACCTGAGGCACAAAGATCCTAAAGATAAACCTTGCCATCCTGAACACGTGACTCACACTCGGTCAGCAGCAAACACCTGTCACCCTTGAAGATCCTGTCTTGGTCATCTAGCACCTGGGTGTGTCGGCCACACAACTGTAGGTGTGAAGAAGTTACCAGTAAATGAGGCCATTAGTCATGAGATACCAACTCTACAAATATTAATATAAATGTAGATAGTACATTATTTCCCAGAATAGTGTACAGATGAGATATATTTATATCGATGTAGCTGCTCCTGAAAGTTTTCCTCGATAAATTTTTTGCTTTCCAGCACTAAATTCAGCCTAGGAAGCTACTCAGGTGCCACAAATTTAGCTTCGGTACAGGATACCAGTTCTGAAACAGGTGAGAAGAGAGCATTCGGCCAGAAAGCCTACAATACTGAGCACATGCAGTGCTCTCATCTGCCCTTCCGTCACCGCAAGGCTCTAGAGTTCTAGGTCCCATGGCCCCACATAGTAAGATTTGCTGGCTTACAAATGAGTAAATCTGTAAACTTCTCACAGGCTCCGCTCTGACCCAACACCGCCACTAGCGGGCTCCGAGCCGAAAGACACTCATCGCTGAGCAAGGCGAAGGAGAAAGAACAGCGTTGACACGAAACCCAAGCGTGGTTACCAAAAGCTCTCAGAGACTTTCCTGATTCTTGTGTTGTGTGAATACAGGCATCCCTAGCTTTATGGTGCTTCACAGATACTGCACTTTCATCCGCATTGAGGCAAAACCCTCTGCCAGCAAAAAAGATTATGACTCACTGAAGAAGGCTCGGATAATGGTTAACCCTTTTTAGCAATAAATTTTTAAAAGTTTACTTTATTCTCGTTTGAGAGAGGGAAAGAGATAGAGAGGCAGGGACATTGATGCAAGAGAGAAACACCCACCAGCTGCCTCCTGCACACACCCAAACCAGGGATTGAGCCAGCAACGCTGGCATGTGCCCTGACTGGGAATCGAACCAGCAACCTTTCAGTTATAGGATGATGCTCCAACCAACAGAGCCATGCAGGCCAGGGAAATAAAGTAATGTGTAATTAAGGTATGTACATTGTTTTTTAGACATAATACTATTGCACGCTTAATAGACTATCATATAGCAGAAACAAAACTTTCGTAGGCACCATGAAACCAAAAAGTTCACATGACTCACCTCATTGCGATATTCACTTTATTGTGATGATCTGAAACTGAACCTGCAATACTTCTGAGGTGTTATGTTAAATAAGTGGACCTCTGGAGGAAGCTGGCAGGGTCAGGGAATATGTGACGGATGAGACCAGTAGATTAATCGAGACTCTAAGCTGTGTTGAACTGTTCTCACCAAGAGCAAAGCCATCGCTTTTCCCACCCACCTGCTGAGTAGAGAGGGACCACCAAGACTGGTGTATAACTACATCTGCAGGGGCGTTTCCCAATCAAAGGCAAACCACATCTTTATGTCGCAGTGTCTAAGCCCACAACACCGACATTGCGCCATACAGAGAGACGCTCCATTGTTATCTGGAACCATCTCTGCACAAAACCTTGGTCTCGCTCAGTGAACATAGTTTTATCCGTTCCTCCCTACTACCAGGTACTCAGAACCTCATTCCGTTTGACTTGGTCAAAATATATAACCAAGTTCAAGGGCTTCGTGTCATCTAAAAGTTCCACAGTTCAAAGAAGAAAGATGAGAGGGTTATGTAAACTTACAGCAGAATATTCTTCATATAAATACACGTTTTACATAAATACACCAATTTGTACATGTTTGTGCAAGCATGGAGAAGGAATGATAAGAAAGGATTTGCACCAAGTTCTTAACACTAGTTAGCTGGAGAGGCAGAATTGAGGACAGAAGCAGTGAAATTGTTGATTCTTTTAATTCTTCTATATTGTTTAGCCACCTTTCTGTGTGATGCTGTCATTTTTATATCATGCCTCCTAAATCAATCTCCCCAGCCAGAAATTTTTTCCAGTTTTATCCATGCAACACCACAACCATGAGCTTCCCTCTCAAAACTGCTCCGCCTTTCTGTTAAGAGTTTTATACTTAGTCCCCAGAGCTCAGTCTCCACTCAGCTTTCTCCTCCTCCCGCCTGCGCCTGCCCTTGCAGCTCTGCAGCCCAAACCCCTGTTCCACCCTCCCCCTAGCTCAGAGCCCCACCCACCCCAATCTAGACAGCAATGTCTAGATTGCTGCAGGGTCGTCTCTGAAACAAAGCTGCCCCCTGCTTCAGCTTCTCCCATCTCTACTTCATCTCTTCTTCATGTCTCTCAGGCAAAGCTTCGATCCATCCAGTCACTCGCCTGTTTGAAAAGTTTTTGACCTTCACATTGCCTGCTGAATAAACTGCAATCCCGAATCGCACTAGTGGTCAAGGGCCTCTACAGATTCTGACCACCCCAACTTCACCCCCTGCGGTTCCCACATAGCCAGCGCACAGCAGCCAGCCTGGAGCTCCCACTTACGAAGATCGACACTGTGTTCCTGGCCATAAACTATGCTATGAGTTTTGTTTTATTTTAATATAAATGCAAGCATTTGTGTTGTTGTAGACACTAACACATTAAATTATGCTAGAAGCTCCTATAAAGCAATATCATCAGCTGACACTTCTGCACATTTACTTACAAGCTTTGTTAAAGATCAGTGATCATCAGGAGGTAAAAAACTGCAAAGGGCAAGTTTTCAAAGAAAGATTAATTTAATTACTCTGAGCCCTTATAATACTATATGATATGCAAGGTAGCTAGCTTAGTGTGGGGGATAATTTGCAATATTCTGTCAGATCATAAAATAATACTAGCCATAGTATTTAATTGACTTGAATATCCCATTTTCTGATTGTGCTGGTTACCAACGTATACATTATTTCCTATTACTCCAAAACTGTGATACTAAGGAAATTATGCTTACTTAAAGAGGAAACTTTTAAACTTAAACATACAAGGAAAACAGATTTAGAAAAAAATAACTCTTAAACAATTTTTGAAATATTCTAAGCTTATTTCTACTCTACAACTTATTTCACTCTACAAAAAGGAAATAAACAGTTTTCAGGTGAAAATTTCCCTACAAACCCAATTTTCATATATGTTATATTCCCCTGAAGTGCCATATAGCCTCCCGGAAATTTAATCCTTAAACCTTGTGTTTTCAACCATTCTCAATGTCATACAGTCCCTTGAAATAACAGAAGCTTATTTTAAGGTTTTAAAAATAAGGTATAATTAGAAAAGATTATCTTAAGCAAAGATAGGTAACTTACCAACAAAGAAGTCACAAATGGCCAAGTTCAGAAAAAAGTAATTACTTCGATGTCTAAGGTTTTTGTCCACCACAAAAGCTAAAATGACAATGGCATTTCCCAGCATTATAGCAAATGCTAGTAAGCCCATTAAAAACGCTAAAGTAATGCGAGAGCTTGGTGCTAAAGTACCGGGAACCGTGCTGTTCATCACCTCAAATGATGAAGCTCAGTACAGCAAGGCAGTTCAGGCAGGTACGGATCCAAATGTGAACCGGTATGTATAGTCTTCTGCCCATGATATGTTTTTCAAGATTTACGCACTGATAGCAGTACTTATTTCCTGATTCTTGAAAAGGAAACTTGTGGTAACAATTTCCCTTTGACACTGAAATAAATTTACTTCCAAAACACAGTACCATTTTTATCTTAAATATTTTAAAGTGATGTATCCATCTCCCATGAATGGAGAGTAATAGATATTTAATACATTATATAGGTAAAAATTGGGCTCAAATGAGATGCATGTTTAAAAATAATATAGATCCAATTAAACATTCTCTTCTGACCATGATGAAATTAACCATCCCATCTGACACAATTGAGAAACTGGACGATATATATGAAATGGTAGCTTTCAAGGAATTGCACATTAGCCATTGTCCAGAGAGAAATGGGAAGAAGATCCAGTGAGACCTGCATGGCCCCAGGTCCCTCCCTATCTTAGTTTCCAGCACACAGAGCTGCGGGGGCAGGTGACCAGAAGGGCCCAGCAGGTTCCCTGATATGGGAGGAGGGGCTGAGGGTCCAGGAATACCGGCCAGGACTCAGCCCTGCAGTGGGAGGCTGAAGGTGGGCTTCCATTAGAGAGACAATTACACTTTCATGGCAGAATTAGAGGGAAAGTGATAAGGGATGTAATATACATACAAGTCTTCCTTCACCTAATTTTCTTCTTCGATGGTAGATTCATAGACCCTAAAACCAGAGCAATTATTAGGATTCCAAAGTCTAATATTATCCTGAAACAAGGTAATATGTATATTAATTTGAACCTAAATGCAAAAATGCCAAAGAGATGATGAAATTAATTATCTATTCCTTGTATCTGAGTAAATTAGAGGTGACTGTTACAAATGTTTATTCCTTGTTGAAGAGATAATCCTGTTGAGTGCAACTAGACCAAACTAGAACCCTGGACTATCTCAGCTTGCTACCATCAATATAGACCAGCCCAGTGACTTAACCAGAAGAACATACGTTAGGGAGAAAGGTTTGAATTTAAATTAATGATGAATGGAACAAAGGTGAAACTATTGCTGAGGGGAGGGTAGCTAATAAATGGGTATTACAAAATGGAAAATCTAATATAATTTTGGTCCCTCACAGGAAGCATAGAGCAGGAGAATATTACTCTTTCTGAGCTTTGACTCAGATGCCCATTGAGTGAAGGCCTCTGGTCACCAAAATTCATCTCTTTCAAATACCCAAAAAGTAAGCAGGACAACAGCCAGCCCAATGAATGTACAAATACTCCTAAGAGCACCCTGCTTTCTCAAAATGGGGGAACAGATAGAAGCTCTAACTATAACTCTCACTAGCTCTCACTATAACATGGCTATGTCTTTTGATTTCGATTTCACAGGATAGAGCTATTTTGAAGACCTGTGTGAGAAAGAAAACTATGGGAATATATATCCAGTTGAATCCAAAGAACACTGATTAATAATCCAAATGAACATTGGCAGGTCAGGAGGCATGAGTTACAGCAATAAGGCCAAAGGAGATTAACCCCTTATTAGAATTATAGTGTGTACATATTTTCTTACATTACATAGGTTGCCTTTTAATTCTGTTGATTGTGTCCTTTGGTGGAAAGAAGTTTTTATTTTATTTTATAGTCAAGTGTAATCTATATTTACTTTCCTTGCCTGTGCTTTTAGTGTCATGTCCAATAGGTCCTATTAGTTTTTAAAAATTCTTTTACTAGAATCAGAAATAGATAAAACAAAAAATCACAAATAAATATGGGGTTTAAAGAAGAAAAACTGCCCCCAAAGAATGAATCAACATTCGTGCCTAAGTTAGCCACACTATGGTCTTAGTTTTCTTGGCACTTTGTACTCTTTCGGTTTCCTTCTCCACGATTGTTTGAACGCGCAGACCCAGGGAAAAGTTCTGAGACTGAAAATCTACTCCTCATGCAGGAGGCTGGGGCAGACCAAAGGAAGAGGCTCCAGTCTGGCAAACAGCAGCGTTTAGTAAGGGGCACTTACATAGGAGGTGCGTCTTGGGTGTCGCCAAGACAAAGCGGGTATCCTCTGCGCCTCTGGGCAGGCGCTGAGGAATTACAGAGAACAGGGCAGGATGGATAAGAGTGCTGGTGCTTAACCCGCCCCAGAGAAGGGAAGTGTCTGACATGCTTGCCCGGAGCAGGGCGATGGCCCGCTCCAGGGTCCAGCGTGCCCAGACGCACAGGGGCAAAGTTGGTGGGAGAGCCTGAGGCGACTACAGGAAGCAGTTTGTGTAGTTCCAGCCTGGACCCAGTCCTCGGGCCAGGCAGCAGTGATGTCACGGAACAGTCTTTCTCCTCCAGCACAACACAATTTAAACAGCTAGTTAAAACCTCTAGGCATTTTTCTTTGTTTTAGAGTTTACCTTGGACAAATTATTCAGTCCTGCCAACATCCTTTCTTTCACTTTTAGAACCGGCTTCAAGGTGCGCTGCAGTACTTGACCATACAGTGGGAGTGGGGGTTGCGGAAAGGAGAAAAGACTGCTCTGGGCCTTCCCCACCCGGCCTCCCACGCACGCGGAGAATCGCCCCTCTGCACAAGTCCCCTTCTCCCTCCCTGCATTCCACCGGCTGCTTTCCTGACGGACTCTCCCGTCTGGCTCCAAAGAGCAGCTGCATTTGCTTAGGATCGCCCCATAATGCTTATTTGGTCACTGCCTTTTCTCTTCAAGGAAGTTTGTACAGGCTCTTTCCTCAGGAAATTCAATTTCTCTGACATTTGGCTTATCCTTGGTCCAACCTCATGCACCTAGGTCACTCAGAAGCCTAGTATTCTATCCATGTGAATGAGGGCACCGTGTAATGAGCGAGACAGCAGAGCTAACAGCAATGGAGGGGCCAAGGGTACTAACCAATAAGGACACCAGGGTTGACTGAAACGGCACCATCGCCTACCAAAGTTCACCTACCAGCCCAGTATCTAAACTCCTCCCTCTCCCTCAACCTGCTCACATTCGATCACCGAGTTTTCTCAAGCTTACCGCCTAAATACACCTTAAACCCACCCACTTCCATCCATCCCCACCATCATAACTCAATTCAGGCCCCCATTATCTCTCACTTGGCTTTTCTTCTGGAACCCTCTGGCACTGTAAGAGAGGAGAAATAATTTTCCCTCTACCTTTGTGAATTCTTGGCTAAGACTCCTGGTAATTATAAAAATAGATTAACAAGCCCTGGCTGGTGTGGCTCAGTGGATTGAGCACCAGCCTGCAAACCAAAGGGTCAGTGGTTTGATTCCCAGTCAGGGCACATGCCTGGGTTGCGGGCCAGGTCCCCAGTAGGGGATGCGCAAGAGGCAACCACACATTGACATTTCTCTCCCTCTTTCCCTCCCTTCCTCTCTAAAAATAAGGAATAAAATCTTTTAAAAAACCATTCACAAGGGAAAAACAAAAGCTTATTAACATGTGTGCCTCATGCACACATGGGAGATACCCAGGATAAATGAGTAAAGCTCCAAGCCACTACCTCAAACACTGTCTTCAGCTACAGACACAAGAAAGACGCTGCAGTGAGAGTGGTAGGAGAGACAATTCCAGGAAAGCGGAGGAGGAACTGTGTGGTAAGCAGAGGTTGCCCAGCCTTGCACCCGGTGAAGGTCAGTGTAATAATAGCTGTCTCCCTGGTATAGGTCCCCTTTGCAATGTCAATTCATTTATGAATGTAGATTTCCCTTTCTAAAGGGTGACTTCTCTGTTCTCAGAGCTCCCTCTGTGTCCAGAGTTTCTTGATATAATCAGCTCAAAATAATCCTTATGCCAAGAGGCATATTTTATGGTGGCATATTCAGCTACTCTTCAATACCAAGGTCTTATTGATTACAGACCAATCTGATTTCACTTCTTTTACAATGAGAAACATACTAACCATCGCCTATTGAGTTCCCATTGTGTGTGAAGCTTTAGACTAGCGACATTTCACACATGATCTTTTTTATTCAATTCTCCAAAAATCCTATGAGGAAGGATTATTAGCCCCATATTACGAATAAGGAAAACAAGGCTCAGAGAAGTTAAGTAACTTGTGCAAAATGACTTCCATGTCCAACACATGGAATCAAAATTTAAATCCAACTCTGACTTCCAAATCTACTTTTCCTTGATTACACATACTTGATTACACACATCTCTTGTCTGTCAAATGACAAAAAGAAAAAAATACAGTTTGGTAATGAGTTTAATGTCCTTTATTCAAGGGAAAAACCCCATGGGTTTGGTACAGTGCTTCACAAGCTGGGGAGCACTTTTGCCAAAGGGATTTAGGGCAAGAGCGAGTTGCACAGAATGTTAGAAGAGGCGAGGTAGAAATGGGGCATGGTTGGCTAGGAGGTCGGGGATTTCTGTGGCCAGCTAGCAGGTCTTATCTTCCAGGGTAAGGTAAACTAGCTAAAGCTGAGTTGGAGGATTGTGATTGGTGCAAGTTAGATTCCCTTGAAAGGCATTTCCCACTGAGCGCAGGCTGACTCAGGTTTAGGTCAGTGATGTGGGTCACACCAATGGGGTAGCCTCTGTTTGGAGATCCAAGTATAAAAATTAACTTTATTATTCCTCTAACAGTATACAACTTTAAACCTGGGCTAAATGGGGGGGGGGAGAGTCTTCCCTAGGCTCAGAAACCAAAATCCTACGAACTAGCAATACGCTTTTTAATTTGTCTCTCTCTTTCTAGCTGGTTTCCACTGGCAGTTGGCCAACTATGGTTCACAGACCACAGTTCGGTCCCTGAGCTAAGAATAGTTTCTATACATTGGGATACTGTAATTTATAATTGGAAATATATATTTGGTCTTTGTCCCCGCTTCTAGAACAGAACCCCCAGAGCCCTAGCAATGTCCTAAGTGGTAAGAGCACTGGAAGCATCTTTTGTTATAATACTCAGTCTTTCATCACTGGTTGCTGAAACAGCTCCACAGCCATAAACATAAAAGGGGCTTGTTATTCATAAGCCCCTTTCAACAACACCTGACTTTAAGTTAATGCAGTGGCTTTTGGAAATGCCCTAGGGATGGCTGGTAGTTGCCTGGGGAAACAAACACGTGATTCTTTGATTGAAAGTTTCAGTCCTGCTCCACCTCAGGAGAGAGGGGAGGGCCTCGAGGTTGACTCAGTCACCAGTGGCCAATGATTTAAACTATTGTGCCTACATACTGAAATAAAGCCTCCATCAGAACCCCAAAGAGTGGGGTTTGGAGAGCTCCCGTGGTGGTGAACACATCGAGATGCAGGGAGGGTGGCAAGCCCAGAGAGAGCACGGGAGCTCCACGCCCCTTCCCACATACCTCACCCCATGCATCTCTTCCATCAGGCTGTTTCCTTTTGTAATAAACCAGTGACCTAGAAATATGTTTCCCTGAGTTCTTTGAGCCACGATAGCAAATCAGTCCACTGGAGGAGGCAGCCTTAGGAACCTCCAATCTGGAGCCAGTTGGTCTGAGCAGAGGTTATAACCTGGACTTACTACTGATGCCTGAAATAGGGGCCAGGGGCACAGCTGCAGGACTGAGACCTTACCCGGGGGATCAAATGCTATCTCCAAGTACATAGTGTTGGAACTGAACTGAATTGTAACACACTGAGCTGGTTTCAAAAAAATTACTTGATGTGTGGGAAGCCTGCACATCTAGTGTTAGAACTGACATATTCGGAGGAGTTTTTGAAAGTAGAGGAGATACATGGAAAGAGTGTTTTTCTTTATACATATTTACACAGTTGAAAGAAAAAGAATATTTCATGACACAAAAATACATTAAATTCCAATTTCAGTATCAAGTTTTATTGGAACCCACCTATGCTATTGTAAATGTGCATGTTGGCTATGACAACTTTCACACAATAAGTTGAGTGGCTGTGACAGAGATGGTTCACAGATATAAAATATATATTATTTGGCTGTTTACAGAAAAAAGTCTGCCAACCCTTGCTCCATACTTCTTGACTAGATTCAGAGTTCTCCACTGCAGCTTCATAACTAAGCAGTCTCCATATCGACCCATGGCCTGCTTAGCTCTTCATAAGCTTTTCAAAGCTAAAAACAGAAACAAGATCACTTGCCCCAGCTTGCAAAGCTTGCAAAATGCAGGCAATTCATACCTGATAGACTTGAGACCCAGCTCCAAACTGCCAGGCTATACCTAGAGCCTAACTAAGAACCTGGTAACCTCAATGTCAACTTAAAATTATAGGTCTCATTAAAATCTTCAGAAATGGCCTATCTTCAATAAGAGGTAGGAAAGTTCTCCTGTGCAAGTGAAGAAAAGATATCTACTTGATGGTTTACTGAGCACTTCTCACATGGAAGGCACCTATTAACTCCCATGATATCTCAGAGAGGGAGGGTATTTCATTCACATTTTTACAAGTTAGGAAACTAATGGCAAAAACGATTAAGTTTCCTAGAAATTCACACATTAGTAATCCAGGGGAGTGGTGATGAAGTGCTGAAATTCACAGACTAGGTGCTCAGATACACAAAATTGCAATGTTATTCCTGTGTCTGAATCAAATCAATCCTGTTAAGAAACCTTCATATGTCCATTCCTGGAAGCAGGGGTGGCGGGAGGAAGGAATGTGTCACTACAAGATCACTCAGACACTTCGGGTACAAAATGTAGTGACAGAAAGTGTTCAATTTCATTAGGTCATCAGGGGAAACACACCTTGAAACCACAAAGGGATGCCAGTACAAACCACATGGCACAATGAAAACGAGTCAGGCAATACCGAATGCGGACATGCAGCCACTAGAACTCTCTCCCTCACTAGGTGGGATTGTAAGTAGTTGTAACTAGTCAGGAAAACTGCTTGGCAGTGTGATTGATGGGTACTAGAGCTCGCTCACAAGAAGTACCTGTGAAATATCTTAAGGGATTTTGTGAGCCAGCTGATTTCACATTGGTAGCTTGAAATTGGACAGGAGTGCTTAGACCACAAGAACTCTCAAACATCATGTATCAGTTCACACACACCCCAGAGCCAGTCATTTAAAATTTATGAGCACACCATGGGGCAGTACACACCAAAGCTCCACGTATACTTATCCTATGACTCAAGAAATCCACCTCTAGGTCTGTACGTGTTAGAAATATAAGTATGTTGACCAAAAGCTACGTACAAGAATATTCATAGCAGTACTAATTGTGATAGCCTCAAACTGGAAATCCAAATATCCATAATTGGAATTGATAAATTGTCGTGTCCATTCAATGGAATTCTCTTTGCAGTGATAAGAACGAACGGCTACATGCAACAAACCAAATGGAGCCCACAAAATGTTGGAACAAAACAAGCCCCAACCAGGGTACATACTGTGTGTTCGAACTTATATAAAAGGCAGACTAGACCAAATTCATGCTGGTGTCAGAAACTGGGGAGAGAGAACAGCTGACTGGATGAGGCGCAAGAAGGACTGACTGTGGGTGCTGGTACCGTGTTTTGTGGTTTGGGTTTTTTGCAAACTAGGTGCTGGTTTTACAACTGTTTATTTCATGGAAATGTATAATAAGAAGTTTGATTTAAAACGTGCATATGAAAAAAAAATGAAGTTCAACTTAAATCCCATACATACTAAAATTAAGTGTGAATAGATAGTGGATCTAAAATAAAAACTTAAAACTCAAAAATTTTAAAAAGACAAACAGGCGAAAATCTCCACGAGTTAGGCAGAGTCCTTAGACATTACACTAAAAGCATGATCCCTGAACTCCCCCAAAATTATATCTCAACAAAATTAAGTACTTTTACTGTGCAAAAACCAGTGAAGAGAATTTGAAAAGACAAGCTACACCCTGGGAGAAAATATATGAAAAATACACATGGGCCAAAGAATCTGCCTCCGGAATGCATTTCTTGGTTTTGATAAATATACTGGTTACGTAAGATGTTATGACTAGAAAAAGCTGAGTACTTCTGTAATGTTTTGTGAGTCCAGAGTTAGTTAAAAACAAAAAACATCAATTAAAAAAATTGTTACTCTTACCTGCCACACTTCCTATTTTTCCACATCTTTGATTAGTATTCTAAGAATATTCCAACACAATGCTGATGAGAGTATAGCTGATAAACTTTTCTACAGAATAATTTGGCTAAAGAAAAAATTCCACTTCTAGGAATTTTTCCTAGAGATAATATATCAGAATCTGCATATAATAATTTTTCAGTTGTTTATAATAGTGAAAAATTGGAAAAAAAAACATAAAAATTGGAGACCAGTAGCAATTAGTTAGTACATTATGATATACCCAGAAGACAGAATATGATGTAGCCATAAGAAATTAAACCACAGAATAATATTTATTGACATGGGAAAATGTTAACAATATACTTCTATATGAAATATCAAGATACAAAACAGTATATACAGCTTAATACTATTTTGTGGAAAGAAAAATAGCATATGTACAAAATCAAGCACAGGAAAAAAATAGGAGGCTGTGCGTACCAAATGTTGCTAATGGTTATCTCTATGTAGACGGTGGAATTAGAGGTAATTCTACAACTTTCCCAATAAATGTCACCTTCCCCACAGAACACTATCTGTTTCATGCCATTCTTTCCCAGTTGTGATCAGTGTGACACAGTTCTCTTCAAGTGGGCTCTGTTTCATGATATATACCTGCAAATCATACCGCTAGTCCCTTTAAAAAGTAAGTACTACCTGCTCTTACATCCTGGTATACGGAGAGTATGTCTAACTGACACAGATACTGAAAAACATGCCACCACACAGATTTACCGTATTTTGCTATGTATAATGTGCTCCCGCATATAGTGCGCACCCACATTTTTGGCCCAAATTTCCAAGAAAAAAAATCTTTCATTTTAATTTTTAAATTCAATTATTTATTTATATTTAGATAACTCGTTTTTTGTACTGTAAAGGAATTTTAGCATTTATTGTTGAACAATTTATGGTACAAGAAGTTTTATGTAACGAATAATAAGAAAATACAAGAACGGATACAAGGTATTTTAGGTACTACCCATGTATAATGCACATCCTTGTTTTTCCCTTGAAACTTTGGGCAAAAAAGTGGACATTATACATGACAAAATACGGTACTTGACCACAGAAAATTATTTGGAGACTCTGAAAATCCTCTCAAGATAAATTTTAAGTAGAGAAAAAATGATACCTATTATTAGTGTCTATAAATGAGAGTGTGAAATAACTCAGGTTCCAGAATTAGAGACTTTTAGACTTTACTTATTAACTAACTGACTTTGGGCAAAGATTAGGTATGAGTAGGTTTGTCAGTCAGGAGAATGTGGTTAATAACTTTGTAGAAAGAAGCAAAAATGAGATTTGTTTTTAAATAAAAAAATGAGATCCCAGTTATAAAAGATTTTCTATAAAGACTTAAATTTTAGATAAAACAGTCAGGAAGAAATGCAAATTTGGTGATGCAGAAAAATGAACTCATTTACGTTTCTGCAGCATCAAATTCTTACTGGTTTATATCTTCTATCACAGGTTTGCTATGCCAAAGTTGTGAAATTATTTTAATTAATGGTTTTTAAATTTAATTATTTTAAGTTAATAGAGCACATAATTTTTCATGGAATCTGAGGTTGTGTCCTAAACCCATCTTCTGATGGCACTTCGCAACTGCAACACTGAACACACAACAAATACAGGTTTCTCAGGATCCATCCTAGTGTGCAAGTATTTATGAATTTCTTATTAAAAGTACTATGTTAGTTGAGTTTTTTTTTTAAGGTAAAACATCAGAGAACAGAAACAAAACATGCGCCTGTGTCCACTACTCTCTGATGCTGTCCAAGTCCAACACCCCTGCAAGCCGCCTCCTAACCTCTGCTCCCTGTCTTTGGAAGGGAATTTCAGGAACCTGTGAGAGATTAACTTTTAATAATTGTTTGTGATCACGTCTGAGGGGGAACAGGTAATGATTTGTTATACTGCAAAGGCAAAGCTACTGTCTAGGTGCCTAGAGGCAAAGCACACAACTTGCGGATGCAAGAAAGAACATGAAACGCTGGTGGAAAGGTACATTAGATAATAGCGGGGGAAAAGGAATTTTCTTTCTTTTTCCAATCAAAGGTTGGTTCCTTCTCTGCACAGCCATGGCATTGAGAAAGACGGCTGGAATGCAGCTGGAAACGTGCACCCCATTTCCATAACGGCACAGCACACCCTGGCCCGCACCAGTGCCGTCCCGCCACCTCCATTCCATTTATGTCCCATCAATCACGGCACAGCTCTAGCACAGTTCTAATCCTCGGCGAAGAGCACACAGCAAAGGTACCTACCTCCAGGCTGATAAAGGAAACCAGAATATTACACCAGCACATTTCAGGGGAGGGAGGAGACTACTGACACTCCACATTTACTGCTTACATTACAAGAATTAAACAAAAAAACTAGAGGCTAGAAAAACCACTGTTCGAAATTTCACAATCACTAATCTGTGACAGAAACTGAGGTATACCACTTATGCTATATTAATCCAGCAAATACGTTGGATGAATGACTTCAGCACGTAGCTGCAGATAAAACTCCTGAAACTTCACTCGATGCACTGCTCAATGATGGGACACTGTAACATGAAAGGTGACACACTTTTGAACTAAAATCACAAGAAGAAACTCTCCAAGATCAATCTTCAGTGAGCTCCTATTCCAATAAGCCATAAAGAGCAGTAAAAGGCCATATTCATTTAACAAAATGAGAACCCCGATGACAAGAAATCAGATATTTATATTCCTCCAGAGACATTTCTTCCCCCCCCAACAAAGGCACTTGACATGTACTGAAACGGACAGTTAATTCAGGTACTGCCCTGGGCAACTGTTACCTTCCTAAAATTAGGTAAAGTGGTGATTAGTTCAAATTACGTCTTCCAAGCCAGCCTGAAACACACATGAATATATCACGAGTTCTCTATTTTCGGCAGATGATAGAACCAAAGAAGAGACAGTAACGGTGGTGTCCATGATGAACTGGCTAATTTGAGCAGTCCACGGTCCCCTCTCTGCCCGGTATGTTCTTCCATGAGTGTGGAATTCGTATGTAATTATAGGCAAATTAACCTTTCATACACTAATGTTCACTCCTCTTCTTGTCCTTTCTTACTTTTTTGTTCTTTCCCAAAGCCTTAGATGATTCCTCCTGAAAAAAATAAAAATCAGTGTAGCATCACCCCATTTACATGAAGAGACTGGCTTAGAAACATTAAGTCTAATCATACAGAAGATGTATTAACAGTGACAGTATAATTACTTCCATATGTATCATCCTTCTATTTTATAGAACACTTTCATTTACAGTCTATTTTATATTTACAAAAAACTCAAGGAAAATACTCATTTATCTCACTGATTTATGTCTAAATAACTTTAATATTATTTAATCTATTGTCTACTTTCTAAAGTAAAGCATAGGGTTTAAATACAATAGAAATAAACATAGTTATAAAATACAAACCAAAAAATACCCCTCAAGATATAAAGGAAGAAGGCAGCTACAGGTGTGTCAGGGAAAGAGATGCTTTAAGAGTAACAGAAAATGTCAGAACTGTATAGCTGTTTAAAGAATATCTAGTTCACTGTAGCATTATCCGTAACTTCTCTGGGCCTCAATTTTAGGGAATGGAAACTAACTGGTCTTTAAGGTTCTTAGAAATTCTGTGAATCTGTGAAATTAAATGAAGGTCTGAGGAGATGAAGCCATCTATCCAGGGTCATACAACTGGCCAACAGCATGGTTTTGACTAAAACCTAAGTTTCTAGTTTCCTAGTCCAAAGGTTTTTCTAATGCACCGCATAAATTCTAATTCATTCTTAATTTTTTCTTTTTTTAATTTCACAGGCAGTGGTGAGAAACTCTCTAGGTATACCATCAATAACCACTAACCGGTGGGTGTGTGTAGTTCTTCTCCACCAGTATGTTTCTGGCGCAGTTGTTGATATGTTTAAAGCGATCTGGTCCGAGCAGAATCCCTCCATACCAGCGCGAAACTACCACCAGGACATTTCTCACATTCAGAATCTGTTATTTTCAGAAGCATAATTAGATATAAATATACACATGTACAAGCATGAGTTTTAAAGGCAAATGAAGTAACTATAAAATCACACAGAAAATTTCCTTGCGATCTTACTGGCAGAACTGCATGGGTGAGTGCAGTGAGACTGCTAACAGTTCAGTGTCCTCAAATTCTGAACTTTGGGGCAACGGGGCAGAGCGAAGAGGAGACCATGCAGGCAGGGTTCCAATTCTTGGTGACTTCAACCAGAAAAGCTGTTTCGGTAGCCTTAACCCTAGGCCAAACAACATGAACCCTGTGTCTAAACAAGCTACTGCAGAGAACAGGGGCTGCGTGAGCAATTGCTGCTGCCTAGCAGTAAGGTCTTCCTCAGTTTGACGTCTGTCAGACGCTGCCCTCGATGTGAAGCCCACCAGTCCACAGGCCTGACCCACGCACAGAGTGCCTATCAAGTTAGCAAACAAACCTCCGCATACAATAGCAGAAGAAACTGTAGCAACTACCTTAGAAAAAATAACAATCCATTCTTAAAATTAATGGACAATGATCACCAGACAGATGAAGAAAATCCAGCAGCATGAAAGAGAAAGGACAAGGTAAAGAAACTAAAATGGACTAGAAAAAATCTGAAAGAACATCTTAAAAAAAAACAAAGCACTAATTAGTATAATCAGGAAATTGTAAGAGATATTGCATCCATAAACTAGAATGGCCCACTAGGAAAAAGAAAAATAGAAAACACAAAAGAATTCTTGATGATTAAATACATGGTGGCTAAATTTTTTTTTTAATTCAATGGAAATTTTAGGAGACAATCAAGAAAATGTCTCAGAACATAAGGCAATGAGATGGACAACTTAATTTTTTTAAAAGTAACATTCTGGATCGATCCAGACGGCCCAATAGCCAACTAATGGGAATTTCACAAAGACAGAATGAAGAAAATAAAGGGGAGGAAATTGTAAAAAATAAAAAAAGGAGAAAGTTTTCCAAAGCTAGAGACAATCTTCTATAGTCTATCACTGGAAGAGCTTGAAAGCACATTTGCTTTCAGCCCCATACCCAGTGGTTAAAATTTTCTGTCAGTGTTTAAAAATTAACTACTAATTAAACCAAATATACCCCATGTTACATAATCTAACTGATTTACTGATTTCCCAATGGAGCTCTGTTTTGTTGAGAAATGTTATGGCTCACAGAACAGCATTACCAGGACGTCGGTCACACTCACCTCCATGAGATGGAGAAGTCGTCCACCAGCCGCTGTTTCCCCATCATCTTCGCAGTCCTGTAAGAAGGTCTGTTTATCCTCACAGTATATTCTAGAAACACATACAATAGTGTTATGGTTTGAAACCTCAAAATATGGTAATAAAAGTTACTCTTTCATACTAGTTGCAAACAATTTACTGCCCAAATCAGCATTATCTCCTTTTTAAAAATTCGTTCTTGAACTGTATATTTATTATATATATTTTCACTGATAATGTACTATTTAGGATGTTTCACTTTTTATATTTGGGAAAGCTAGGAATCAAGGATGTTGCCCTAAAACAAGAAATGGCGCAATTGTGGGAAGGTGAGTTTACACATTTAACCTGAAGCTTTGAGGTTATAGAGAGAAGTCACTGAAAAACATTTGAGAGTAACTCGTATATATGTATTATGCATAATAGGCACTATGAAATGATCATAAAGAAATAAGTGGCATACTCCTGTCTTCAAAGATCCTAAAATCTAGTGAAACAGACAAAAAGTGTATTAAAAGGATGGAGGTGATAAAATCAGTAGAAGTTAATATTTTATACCTTCCTTATATCTTATACTAGCCATCAAGTATTTTTCTATCTTTTCCATTTTGAGTAAGAATTTTAAGATTTTTCTCTGTAATTTTCCCTGAATAGTTATCAATAAAGGCAAGTCCTGGTACTTTTACCCATTTAATTACCTAGAAAGTCAACATTAGGAATAACAATGTAGGGCTACGTTATAGGACAATGAGCTTGAGAGGTAAATGCCAGTGTGAAAAGATCACAGTGCCAGTGAAGGTGTGTCGTACAGCAGATTCCATGGGCCCCTGCAGACAGCGCCATCTCCTAGGACTAGGCAGATGCGCAAAGCTACCTTTATGGCTATGACAGCAAAAAGGCAGATACTACTTTATCGATACACCTACGTCAATTACAATAATTTTATTATAAGAATCATATTCATTCATTCATTCATCTTTCTATCCACCAATCGTCTATCATTCACTCAATATTTACCACTTGCTTACTGTGATCAGACTCTATTATTGTTTAAAGTTGACCTCATTTGAAGAAAAATTAGCATTATTAAACATAATTTTATGTGGCAAATTTAAGGTAAAAAGGAGTCAGTGGCTGGTGTATATTAGGTTTGCATAAATATATATTTATATTAGGCTTCATATATAAATTATAAACTTATATATAATTTAGATATAACTAATCTGTATTACTTACATTATATATTTATATATGTGATTATAATTCAACACCATAATTTTATGGAACGAGTAAAGAAAATTTGACTATATAAATCAGTACTGTTAGGTTTAAAAAAAAAATGAAACAGCATAGACGTTTTCACACATGCCAGAAAGAATGATGTGGCACTGACAGCTGTGTGTACCAGGAGCCTGAAGGGGGCCCCCCAGCCGTAAGGCAGGAACACTGCCCCAAAGCCCAGAAGTAACCTTAAAAGGACCCTAAGCATTCAAATACAGGGTCTGGCAAAAGTAACACCTGCTTGAGTGTGGTAGAGTAATAATGTGGGTGTAATAATTTACAGTTTTAATTTGAACACCTCATCTAAAATATTACATGGTGTGCTTGAGAATGACATGGTTATGTTACAGAATTACATGCTTATGATTTTGTAATAAATAAAGATTTTGCAATAAAAGAGGGGTGTTAATTGTGCCGGACCCTATATATACAGAACACAAAGTCCATGTACCAAATGAAGGTCATTGATTGCATTCCCAATGGGGTCTTTCACACCTCCACTTTGTGCCTTTTTAGTCATATCGGACACAGTTCTGACAAGGCCATCTTTCATTCCCAAGTGCCAATTACGTAAGGCAGTGAGGTAGAGGGACTGCTACATGTAGTCATGCTGACATGTGTGAGCAGTGACAGGTGATCACCTATTAATATGCAAAAGGACAAAAATACTCACAAGTACTTAAAGACCCAAAAATCTGGGGCTTGAAAGAGAATATCTGGCACATTATTTAATTTTTTGATAATTTAAAATCAATATTATGTACAGCGGTTACTGAAGGTGCAGACTCACAGCCATGTAGGAATAAAATACAGATAAATGAAGTTAGATGATCAAATTCAGCTCTACCACTTAATAACTATGTGATCTTAAAAAAGCCAACCTTTCTACAGTGGCAGAGCTGCTGAAATAATCAGCATTACCTTCGGTAAAGTGTCTGGCACAGAGCAGGCACTCAGTAAACAGGTGGGAGGAATGAACGGCAACGATTAACACAGCACATTCTAATCACTGCCAGCAAGCACAGTCTACTTCCTCGTTTTTATACTGATGACCCAAAATCAGGAGAAAACATCAAAATTCTGACCAGTGATATGATAGAACTATATAACAAATAGTTTTTTTAAGTTGTAGCACTTAAAGAGATGTGACTTAGTAATACTAAAAACTCACTTATCCAAAATGATGGATTTTCTTTTGAGTTTTAAATAACTTAGATTTTATAAATAATCTCAACCACATTTATACAAAATCTCTGTCTATATTCTGATTTATTTAAGTCCTAAACTATGTTCTTTTAAGTCTATTAATTTGCATATCTAAAAATAGACCCTTAACCTCTTTACTATCAAATCAGCAAAAATTTGTATAAAATGGTAGTACTCAAAAATAAAAGGCATGCAGTAAAGCAGCACCCTTAATTCATTGCTAATGCAAGCAGAAATTGGTTTAAAAGAAAAACTGGAAGAAATTTAGCAATATGTATCAGTTTCAGAAATGTTCATACTTTTTGATAATTTTAGTAGGAATACATTCCCTCTTCATGTATAATTATACTTCCATTTAAGTTCGAAAAAGAATCTGAAGCAACCAGAACCTATCCTGAGGAAATGATCAAAAAAATAAAAAACAAGCAAAGATGTTCCCCAAACTATTCTTTTTTATAGTGAAAAATATGAAAAACTAAAACAAAAAAGAAATGGTTAAATAAATTGTAGTTTGGAGCCTCAAACAAATATACAACCATTAAAATGATGTTTACAAAGCAAGTATAATATGGAAAAATGCTTTTGTAAATTAAGGAAACGATACTATACTAGGGTAAAGCATTGAAAAGATAAACTTTGCATAGAAAAGACAGAAAATATATCAAATTATTATTGGTTACATTCAGCAGTACCAAATGGCTGGCTTTCCCTCTCGTTCGTTTCCTTTCTGCAGTTTCCAGCACATCAGTGCCTTTGTTGCTCACAAAGTGCACGTTCCCACCGCGGTGGCGTCACTCACCGGTACGCGTAGATGTTGTGCGTGGCACTGGCTATCTTCTTATTCTCATACAGTTTGGCAAGAACCATTTTCACCTTAAAAACAGCAGCGAATAAATAAATGTATACTTTTTATTTTCTCTATAAATAAATACCAGAAAAATATCTTAAAGCATGTTGATTTAAGTACTGTGGTATTGAAAGGTATTTAAAGAATCTTCTACACTCTGAAAAAACCACCTCCAAAGTTTTCTCATTTCAGCGGCAAAAGCCGGTACTTACAACTGATATAAAAATGAAAGCCCTGGTTTCTCAATACCAATTATCAACAAATATTTTAGCACTAACCATGCCTAGAGTTCTTAGACATAAAATATTTTTCCCCACATAGGGAATTTTAAATGTAAATATGAAAATTTCTAAAAATGAGCTCTGAAATTTTACCGAATTTACATATCCAGTCTGATAGGTAAACAACAATGGTATGTTCCAAGTGTTATAAAACTAAAACTCTCTCAGGGAGTCATGTAACGTTGACAGAGGAAGCAGCATGAGCCAAATCTTGAAAGAGAAGCGGCAATTTTTCTGCACTGAAAGGTGAGGGGCGGGGCAGGAAGAAGCAATTACATTCAGAGGAAAGAGAATATGCAGATGTACCAGATGTAGCATATAAAAATAAATACTGTTCAGTTAAATGAAATTTCAGACAAATCACAAATAATTTTTCATTGTATGTCCCATGTAATAATGCCCATCTGAAATCCAATTTAACTAGGTATCCTGGATTTTATCTAGCAACCCTAGCAAGGACATAAAAGAGAAAGGTTCATGATGTAACCATCAGGCCAGGGACATATCACAAAGGACTTTGTATACCATTGTGAGCTTTTTCTTCCTAGACAATGGGAACCTGCAAGGATTATGTGAGGGGGGATGGAAGACACTTGGTCAGATTGTGTAGAAAGGTAACTGGCAAGGAGTACGGAAGAAATACTGGAAGCAACAAAGACTGAGTTGGAGTCAGGAAGACCAAGTTCGATCAGAAACTATAAAATTTTATGTTTATCATTTTTTAACCTTTCAGGTGCTCAGTTTTCTGATAAAAAAAAATTGACACTGACCTCTAAGATTTATTTCCACTCTTATGGATTATGATCCTGTAAGTCTAAGTGACAGTAATAAAAAATAGAAAGAGGACCCAGGCAGAACAGATTCAGAACAGAATGTCTATGAAGGACCCTAACAACAAGATTAGGGGCAAGGGCCAACAGCAAAATAGGGTTCCTGAGAGAAAAGCCCAGAAGTCTGCACCAAAAGCTGTTATCTTGACCACAAGGTCAATGAAGAAAAGAACTGCCTCTTCCCGAGACTAAAAGAGAGGGTGCAAGGGACACCTGGCACAAAGAACCGTACCCCTGCAGGTCAGGACTTCCAAAGAACTTGGAGAGAGTAGCTGTGAGACCAAAGGGAAGAGACCAATCCTTAAAACCTATCTAAGTTTGTGAGATTTTGTATTTTTGTTCATTTAACTGTATAGGTAGTACTGAAATTGTCCCTTGTATCAATAAAGTTTAAACTAGGCCAGATTACAGCAGCAAGGGAGAAAAAAAATAATTCTGTTGAAAAGAGAATAAGAAAGACAAAGAGCAAAGAATACAGTTTTTAAATGAAAAGTCTCCCATTTGATATTCTTTGGTGGAAATCAAATCGCGTAAGATTAGGAAGCAGAAAGAAAGAGGAACTCAGGTGGGGAAGAATGGGCTTGGCCAGTCTGTCCACCATCCCCTTTGCTGGGCAACCATGGAACATACTCAGTTTTCTAGAACATCCATATGATAGGACAAATAATTCAACAAACTATTAGACATAGTAATTTTCTTGTTTGAAAATCTACTAGAAGGTTAAGCCCTAATCAGAGTTTAAATACAATTTTAAAAGCAGTGAAAGACAGAAAAACAAAACAAATCTACCATGATTCACAGTAATTTAGGGGTAGAAAAATGAGCAAATAGTTTTTAAATTAAATAAAAATTAAATGATTAGTAACAGTAAAAATAGGGATATTATGGCAAAAACCATTTACTTGGATAACTTTGGTAGAACAGCCCCAGAGTGATAGGGACACAGCAAGTTACCTGCTTGGGACAAACTACTGGAGCCAAATGTGCCTGAAAAGTACTCCGCCGGTCTGTAATAGGGACACCATGATCGATCGGAGGTAATTCTTCTGTTTCTGCACATTTAAAGAGTTATATTACTTTCATTTTTAAAATTCATACATTCAAATACTAAAACAGTTGGCAATGATATGTATGGAGGGGGTCATTTGGGAAAGAAATGTAAATTACATGGCAAATGAACCCAAATGGCAATTAATAGTTGCCTATTAAAATTATGTTATAATAGTAACATAATACTATTCAATACTATACTAATAATTAATTCTTTAGTATTAAATATTAATACTATAATACTTAAGTAAAAAGTTTCCAAATATATTACACATAAACCTACTTGACTTAAAATGATTCTCACCTGCCAAGGTCACTCAGTGCAAGTGGCGGGTTGGGACTCAAATCCGGATTGTTGCAGTAGTATAAGTTGACATGACAATTATTAAGAGTATAAAGGGGTCTTGAGATGAAAAAGATCGACAGCTGCTAATATACCATAATTTATTTATCCGTTCTATTGTTGATGGAGCTCAGGGTTGGGAAACCTATGACTTTATTTTATGTAACTATAACAAAATGTATTCTGCTAATGAAACTGTTCCTACTTCACAGGATTCAATTAAATGTATCAGTAATACACCAAAATTGGTATTCTTTTTTTTTTTAATCAAAATTGGTATTCTATAGGGTTTTGTGATTTCCAGTTATTCTGCCCCTTCAACAAGTTTAAGAACCACTAATTTACCCTCAATTCTGATGAGAAACTTACCAACCATAACAGAGGTAGGAGGAGGCAGAGAAGAAGGCAAAGGCGGATAAACAGTGATGGACGGAGGTTTGACTTGGGGAGGTGAACACACAATACAATAGACAGATGTATATTATAGAAATGTACTCCTGCAACCTATACAATTTCATTAACCAATGTCACCCCAATAAATTCCATTTTTAAAAAAAGGAGAAACTTACCAACCATCCTGGTTGCTGCACCTACATCATTTCAGATGAAAAGTTATTCAGGAAAAAAACAATTAAAATTTACCTATTTCTATTCACTGATCTGTTGAATTTTACCAAGCCAGCTTGCCTTAGAGCTGATGAAATACTTCAACTAACACATGTAAAACTATTTCCGGAGAGCCTTAACCAACTTGCCCCAAATCACTGCACTGGTTTGTGGCAGGGCGAGCACAAAACTCCAGGTGTATGCAGAATGTTCTACCTGCCCCCCAATAGTGTCCTCTTCTTGAACAGACTGTGACTACTGTACTAGTTCAGGACTAAGGACAATCTAAAGTGGATGACACTTATTAGGACTGTGATCTTCACTGTTTTAGTAGTGGCTCCTGTTTCCAAAAAGAAATCTTATGCCAAATCTAGAAAGATATAAATGAATAAAACAGAAGCTACTTAGATTGAAGTAGGAGTCCTGGATCCTCTGGCCACTCTCTCACCCCTCTCCATCCCCTTCCACTAGTCCTGAGACACCATGCAAGAACTTTAAACCTTCACAGTGCTGGTTAAAAGCTGCAGTACCATGGCATGGGAAACTCATCACTGTCAAAGAGAATGTTCCCTTTGGTCTATCATATTTTTGTAAGAGACTTGAGGAAACTGATGATATCATTAAAAAATTTAAAATACTAAAATGCAACATATTTCTTGATATTAACAGAGCTGATTTACCTTTCATAAGCTGAATACCACTATATTATGAAATAAATTTGCTTAAGCAAAAACTAAAATCTTAAAGACATTTTACTAGCCTTGTACTTTCAATTCTGGTATCTATTTTGTTAATATAGACTAAAATTTAACTCTGAGAAATCAGGAGACAGCTGAGAACTTCAAAACATAAATATATGTGAACTGAAAACACAGCTTTTCTTAGTTTCAATTTCTCCTATCACTAATTCAAAAATCTAGAAAGGAGAAAAAAAATCTAAAAATATAAATGAAATCTATTTTTTCCTCACCATTCTGATAGACCCAGGAAACACCAAAATGGCCAGGAGAAAAGAAAAAAATTAACTCGATTTTCTGCAAACGAATAACTATTTCCTAACATGTGGGAGTTTACTAAATTGCTAAGCCATTCCAAAAACAATTCATAATGCTACCAACCCACTTTCCCCCAAAGAAACTAATTAGTAATATACCTGCTTGATTTTGACTATTATCAAAACCCAATGCTCTAACTGGTGGACATGCTGAAAGGATAACACCTTCACATTCAACATCTTCCTCTCCGGTTTTCTTCTTTACATCTGGGCCTATGTGGATATGAAACATTACGAGTGATCTATAAAGGCAGTAAGAAATTATACTTAAGAATTATTAGTATTGGTCTCTAAATATCATTCTTCAATAGAAGGATCCAGGGATTCTACAACAAGTGGTTGATACCAGGTTGGAGCAAGGATAATACAAATTGATCCTGGAATATCTGATTTCAGAGATTTTTAAAAAATGTTCAAAAAAAGATGGAAGCATATCAAAAGAACACAGGAACCTACCTGAAGGAGCTCCTAAAACCCACACCTGGAACAATTTGAGCAACAAAATAATGATAGTATGAAATTTTATTCCATGTAATAAATTAATACATGAGTTTATACTAATATAAATAATAAAAAAACTGGGAAAAGAGAAATCTCTTCCTCACAATAGAATTACAATTAATAAGTGTAGAAGAATTAAATGTGAATCATTATTAGGCAAACACCTACATACTGTAATACATATTGTTGACCAGATGCACTAATGAATATTAAAATTAGTGAGCAAAACTTTAAGATCGAATAGGATACTAGCATATCCTCAAAGTACCACTCCCAAGATACTTAGGAACTACAAAGGGAAAGATAGTTATCTTTTGTAGCTTTATAGTAAACTTTTGCCTTTTTCTTTTTAAAATAAATTTTATTATGTTATTACTGTTGTCCATTTTTTCTTCCCTTTATTCCCCTCCACCCTGTACCCCCCACCATTACTCTCCCACCCCTTAGTTCATGTCCATGCATCATACATATTAAGTTCTTTGGCTTCTCCATTTCCCATACTATTCTTAACCTCCCCCTGTCTATTTTCTACCTACCAATTATATTTCTTATTCCCTATACCTCTTCCCCCATTCTCTCCCCTCCTCCTGCCCACTGATAACCCCCCATGTGATCTCCATTTCTGTGAATCTATTCCCGTTCTATTTGCTTGCTTAGTTTGCTTTTGTTTTTTTAGATTCAATTGTTAACAGTTGTGAGTTTGTTGTCATTTTATCGGTCATATTTTTATCTTTTTCTTAGATAAGTCCCTTTAACATTTCATATGATAAGGGCTTGGTGATGATGAACTCCTTTAACTTGACCTTATCTGGAAAGCACTTTATCTGCCCTTCCATTCTAAATGAAAGCTTTGCTGGATAGAGCAATCTTAGATGTAGGTCCTTGCCTTTGATGAGTTGGAATACTTCTTTCCAGCCCCTTCTTCCTGCAAGGTTTCTTGTGAGAAATTAGCTAACAGTCTTATGGAAACTCTTTTGTAAGTAACTATCTCTTTTCCTCTTGCTTTTAAGATTTTCTCCTTATCTTTAATCTTGGGTAATTATGATGTCCCTTGGTGTGTGATTCCTTGAGTCCAACTTCTTTGGGACTCTCTGAGCTTCCTGAACTTCCTAGAAGTCTATTTCCTTTGCCAGATTAGGGAAGTTCTCCTTCATTATTCTTTCAAATAAGTTTTCAATTTATTGTTCTTCCTCTTCACCTTCTCACAACCCTAATGATTCAGATGTTGGAACATTTAAAGTTGTCTCAGAGGTTCCTAAGCCTCTTCTCATTTTTTCTGAATTCTTGTTACTTCATTCTGTTCTGGTTGAATGTTTATTTCTTCCTTTTGTTCCAAATCATTGATTTGAGCCCCAGTTTCCTTCCCTTCACTGTTGGTTCCCTGTACATTTTCCTTTATTTCACTTTTCATAGCCTTCTTGTATTTTGTGACCATACCCAACCATTTCTGTGAGCATACTGGTTACCAGTGTTTTGAACTGTGCATCTGATAGGTTGGCTATCTTTTCATCACTTAGTTGTATTTTTTTCTGGAGCTTTGATCTGTTCTTCCCTTTGTGCCATATTTTTTGGTGGAAGATAATAATTTTGATAATAGAATTTATATATCAATTTGGCTAGGTCACAGTACCCAGATATTTGATCAAGTACTATTCTAGATGTTTTTGTAAAGGTATTTCTTAACATGAAATTCAAGTTCAAATCAGTTGACTTTGAGTAAAGTAGACTGCCCTCCATTATGTGAATAAGCTTCATCCAGTTAAGGTCTTAATAGAAAGGGACTGACCTACCCAGAAGAAAAGGGAATCTTCAGACTTGAGCTGCAACATCAATTCTTACCAAGGTCTTTAGCCTGCCTTGCACATTTTGAACTTGTCAGACCCCCCAATCTGGTGAGCCAATTCCTTAAAATAAATCAATTCTCCCTCTTCTTCCTTCTCTTTCTCTCTCTAAATACACACACACACACACCCTATTGGTTCGGTTTCTCTGGAAAACCTTGACTAATACAATGACTCTGCAGTGCTGACATCAGGCACATACAACCTTAATCAAGGGGTCAAGGTGAACATCACCAAAAATAAACCATACCAGGATCATGAGCTCCTTGATATGGACTATGAGGAACACAATATCATTCTTGTGGTATCCTTGCAAAAATGCCTAATCCTACCCCAACATAAGAAAATAACAGACAAACCCAAATTGAAGACCATTCTACAAAATAGTGGATCACTCCATTCAAAAGTGTCAAGTCATAAAAGGTCACAAAAAGCAAAAAAAGACTGACAGACTGATTAAAGACTAGAAGAAAGTAAGAAGAAATAACAACTAAATGTGTCATAGAATCCTGGACCAGATCCTACAAAAGTCAAAAGAACATTAGTATAAAAATTAGTGAAATCTGAATAAGCTCTGTAATTAATATTGTAGTCCTGTTCTTGACAATTATACTGTGGTGATGTAAGATGTTATTAGGGGAAGCAGAGTGAGAGACATAAATTCTTTGTACTATTTCTGCAACTTTAATTCTAAAATCAGTTCCAAATTGTTATAAATTGTTAGTAGTTATATACAATTATTTCAAAATTTAATATTTCTAAAGTAGAAAAACAATATGAAATAATAAACAATAAATTTCTACTGAAGATTAACATTATAATCAAAATAAATTACTTTCAAGTGTGTACCCTAGGGAGGAAAATTCTCATGAGAGATCCTGATCACTAGCTTGTATTAGTTCTTCAGAATTACTAATCCTCCCCTTTTAATATAAAGTCTACAAAATCAATTTTTGATCAAACATTTCAAACAAAATTTCTACACATTATAAATTGTATAAAACAAGTCAATAACTCTAAAATTTGAAGAGTGACTAAACAAAATTATGGAGATAGGTGGGAAAGGGAAAATATTTTCAAGATCAATAATTTTTAAAAATTTCCTAAGTTGAGTGACCCCAAACTTTTTTAAGAGTCCTAAATTTTTACTGGTATACATTCCATTTTTGTAATTATCCCATTCTCCAGAATGGTGGATTGGCAAAAATCAATTTTGTTTGAGACTACACTCCTCATAGATGCTCTGAAATGCTATAAAATCACTGATGGATCACAAAAAATTAAGAAAAACACTTCAAAAAAGATTGTCACATGGACAAAATATGTTCATTACCATTTACTTTTTCATTTTAATGGGAAAAGTAAAAACATTTGCTTCTATAGAAAAATAGTAAAATGCTCTGAAAAATCACATATCAATTTTAAATGTATACCAATCTGGCTAAGGGAGTCCTAATAATTGATTCTCTGAAATAACCTTCTAAAACATTTGTAAATAAACAAATGGGTTTTTTTAATCCATATTGTTTCAAATTGAAAACCATTCTATCAATGATAACAATGAAACTATTTGGAAATAAAATTAGATTAAATAGAGTTACTTTCCTCTAAAAGGTCTTTGTGGTAAGTAAAACAAAAGACTAGCAAAGTAAATAGGAAACAATAGAAATTTTCATGTTGTCATACACTTGATGATTCAATAAAATAATAATAATCATAGAGCAAAATATCAACTTTCAAATGTCCTGAAATTAGGTGGTGGTGATGGATGCACAACTTTGAAATATACTGAAAGCCACTCAATTACACACTTTCATAGGGTGAATAATTATAGCATATTTATTACACCTCAATTTAAAAAATCAATTTTCAGCCCTGGCTGGTGTAGCTCAATGGATTGAGCGCGGGCCTGCGAACCAGACAATCGAGGTTCGATTCCTAGTCAGGGCACATACCAGGGTTGCAGGCCAGTTCCCAGCAGGGGAAGCATGAAAGGCAACCATACATTGATGTCTCTCTCCCTCTCTCCTTCCCTTCCCCTCTAAAGATAAATAAATAAAATCTTTTAAAAAAATCAATTTTCAAAATCAATTTTATATCCTAAATATCAGTCAGTATGTTTTTCAAAGTTCTTTTTCTAAAAACATTATACTGATTTGAAGCTAATGCCTATTTTATATCTAATAATTCATGAAGAATGTTACATGGTACATATTAGCTTAACAATAGTCAAACCAGAAATTTTTTGATCTGAGTTCTTTAATTATAAAATTCTATTTCTATAAGACTGTAATATTAAGCCAAAAAAGCTAAACCTTATATAAAGAACCATGAGTATACAAGTAAATGAACTTTCCAAAAAATTTACATTTTATCATATGTAAATCATAAAACAGAACACAGATTTTTGTTAAAGATTTCAATTAGAATATCCATGTGAAAATTTATCACTGTAAGTTAAAATGGCACTGGTAATACTTGTAATCCTACCTGGTTCTGTCATCTGAGCTTTTTGTATCAGAACATCTCTTATTTTCTCCACCCATAGGTAAAGAATACTTTCACCAACATTCTGTCTAAACAAGATTCAAGGAAGAAAAGATTATTTTTGAAAATTCCTTTCTCAAATTCAAAAAACAGACATATTTACAATCTAATAAATTATATGCACCTAGCCATGCCTTTTAAAAAATTTATAAAAACATGAAATTTACTAACATTTGTGGATGAGTATTTAATATATCAACATTAACAATTCTAATTGGCTCCAAAATTAACATTGATTAGTTAAAATAAGCAAAAGTGTTGCAACCAAAAAGAGAAAGAAAATTTATAAACTTGACCTGGATGAATTATTTAAGTGTAAATACAATTTAGTTTCTCGGTGTTAGTGTCCAGTCACTGTTTGCTTTCCTAAATTTTTGGACAATTCCAACCACTTATTTGGTACATTTAATATTTGGTGTGCTTATTGCAACAAAGAATTCAAACATTTGAGGAACTCCCTCAGAGAGTTAATTTACAAACCAATCAATCAATGCAACAAGTTTATATTCACTTTTTTGACAAAACATTATTGCCCAAATTGACTCATTTCAGTTCCAAATAATGTCTGACTGCCTCAGATAATTGAATCCATCTCAAAGCATCATTGAGAAAAAGAAGGTGCCATGGTCACGTCCACAAAGTGATGTTAAATAATGCAACAGCAATGAAATAAAGGCCCGAGTGTCTACTCCTTAGGGAATGACACTAATTTTACTAAGATGTAAAGAAATCACCATGCCACTTCATAGCACCTCACCAACTTCCTCTAAAACCTTCACTTGAAATCTTTACTTCTTTTTATCACCACTCATCTGCACCGTCCGAAGGGAACTTTCAAAATACACACACAGACGAAAACAATACTTTTCAAATCATTGAAACCCTCCCTATCTCACCCATAACTCCTTACCACTAAAATAATCCTCTGTGTTCTTTGGTAACTTAACTTGTCTTTTTAGAGGAAGCAAAAGTCAATTGGAAAAGGCTTTTAAAAATTTGAGAACATTGGCTGAGTTTTGGGTTTGTTTTTTTTAAAACAATTCCCACTCCTATCCTCTCAGTAAGTCAGTAAGACTTAGAGGGGCAGGGAAAGGTAAAATGAATTGGCTCCATACTAAGCCCAAAGTACATTGTATGTATCAACACATTTAACACTCATAATTGTCTGATAAAGTAGGTATTATTTCCCCATTGTACAAATGAGAAGACAGACCTTGAGGGGTCAGTGTACTTGGCTAAGACAGTCTTACAAGCAGTAAGAAGCTCACAGCTGAAACGTGAATGCAGATGTGCCCCAAAGCCCAGGTGCCCACTCCAGTTAGCTCTCCCATCAAGCAGCAGTGCCTTTAGGGCAGTAAAAGCCACCTGCACTGTGAGACTCATCTATGAAAGAGAAGTTTAGAGCATCTTTTCTTACTGTACAACAGTAGTTTATTTTTAAATGAACCTATTGTAATTCACTCAACAAATCTTTAAGGGCCTACACCAAGCAGTACTACGAATGAGCAATAAAGGCAGCCCTAGGCGGTACCACCCTATAGGAGAAAACTGGGTCCCTTATTTGTGTTTGTAATTATTATTCTTACAAATTTATGCTTTTGCATGTAATTCTCTCCATGTCCTAATCTCATTCTACTGAATTCTTCACATCATCACTAGAAGTTGTAATACTAATATCTAGTTTCACTGAACACCTACTATATAGAAGACATGTAAACAATGCTTCCTTAATTCACTTAATCCTTACAAATACCCACTGAGAGGGAAAAATCATCCTTCTGTGAATGTACATTCACATTCAGATTTGGGGTGGGGGGAGGAGATACACCCTCAAAGAACTGTAAGCAGTATTTCCAGACAATAAAGAAGTTAAACTTTAACCTCAAATCCGCCCCCCACGCCCTCCCGCAGAACAACACACAACAGCACTTCCACCCAGCAGCACTGGCTGAGCCTTCCTTCTTCCCCAGTGCTTCACGAGACTGACTGACACCTGGTGCAGGGAATTTGTAACCTGTGTGAAAGGTTTTCTAGAAAAAAAAAAAATGAAAATTATTCTTTCCCTTGGACCCCAAAATTCTACCACGTATGGTGTTTTACTTTTATATTTGTTGTTATTACTGCTGTATTTGTGTTTTCTCTTGTGACAGTAGTTTGTTCTTATCTTTTATCTATCCACCAGGATCTGGTTTTCCAACTTCTGCACTGCTGTAATGAAACCCCCAGCAGAATGAGAAACAAATTAAAACACACAACAGCTGGGAGCCCTTCCTCCTGCACCCCTCCAGCACCGCCCCAACGGTTCCAGAGGAAGTCAGCTAAAGCCCAAGGACTCTCAGGGTGCAACATCTGAGAACTACTTGTTACAGAGCGAGACGTCAAGCTTTTACTTATGAAGTTCAATTACAGTAAAGTATCTAAATATAAAAAGCCTGAAACAAAAATTGTTTCAAATTGAATAAAAGACCAAGCTGAATTAGAAACTGATATTTGGTTGAGATGTTTTGTGAATAACTATACTGAAGTAACCACTACCCAATTCACAATGATCAAAACAAAGTTATTTGTGACTCTACTTTTACATGTGGCTTTGATTTTTATATCTTTAATTTTCCAATGTTTACATTTGCTGACATAAGGGTAAAAGCAATCTTGAAAATGCACTAAGTGGTAGGGACCTTAGACCAAATCACTTGATGTCTCTTGAGTTTCCATCATCTCATTTTTTAAATGACCAAATTAGATGAGACGATTCTTTTAATGACAGCTGTTATTATATAGTGCTGAAGCACATTACATGAACTATGTCATTTAATCCTCACATTATTCTATTACCTTCATCTTAAAGATGAGAAAGCAATCAAAGATGTCACACGATTTCAAAGACAAAAACTTCAATGTGACAGACTTCAGACAGGCAGAACCTGACTCTAGGCTGTGATCTCCCCTTTCTTAGAACCTTTCTTTAGACAGGTTGTTATAAACTCTTTGCTCCTTGAGGATACATGTGTATCTTTTTAGAAGACTCTTGTCAGTTTTACAACCCAGGTGTGTCTTTCTCGAGGACCTGGGAGAAATCCTTTTGAGATGTCATCGTCAAGGAAGACGGAGCCCCTATCTCCCCGCCTCTGAGAGGACAGGAGCCTAACTTCTGCCGAGCAATAATTAGTAAACATAGATGGCCTAATAACAAGAAAATTCATTTGCTAGACACATCTCACTGACCAAGCTCTCCTCAGTACCTTCCTACTAGCTCATCTCAGCCCTTAAAAATCTTTCCCCCTTTGGTTTCAAGAGGCTGAGTTCAGACTGAGTTCTGGCCGCTCTCCCTTCTCCCCTATTACAATAGTCTTGAAGAGTCTTCTTTGCCTGTTTAACTTTGGTGCAATTTTTGCTTTGACAGGCCTCACTCTGCAATTTTTTAACTCTAAGAGTTCATGATACATCAAAATGTGAAGAGCAGGTGAGAATTTTAAATGATCATTTTCTTGGGTATGAAATTAAATGTTTTGAAACATACCACCATAAATTCAAATACTACAAAAAAATTCTAATACCTTTCATTTTATCTTAACACCAATTGTTCTAAGTATTTTGAAATGTTATTTATCTTTGGTTGTGTTAAAATAATTATTTTCATATATTCAAAATATCCACATGCAAAATATTTAAACAAAAATAAGATATGATAAGCAAATTAATCTATACTCAATCACAGAAGCCTCGTTTATATTCTTAAGTATTTCTTTAACTGACCATGCTTCTCCATCGGCCTTCTTGTTGCCTTAATAAAGGCCTCCATCACCTCCTGAGTTACTGACTGCTCCTCCTATGCTGTTCCTTCCAACTCTTCACAGCCCATCCTCCACACTGCAACACAAATCTGATTAAGTCATTCCCCTGCCTTTAAAGCTCCTAGAGCTGACAAGATAATGCCCAAACTCCTCATCCCAGCTTACCAGTTTTCTTCTTATACCTAAACTTCAGTTTATATACCAGGCATCTAAAATTACTTGCAGATCTCTGAAGATGCCAGGTTGCTTCCCACCTACGTGACTTTGCTCATGCATTTCCCGTCTGTCAGAAACTCTTTCTTCTTTTAATCACGTGGCAAACACTATGCTCAACAGTTACCTTCACAATGGGACCCACCTTTACAAATGCCCAGAGAATATTAGTTACTAAATACTCTAAAAAATGCTATTACACTTGGTCCAAACTTCTCAGTAATTACGTCACGATACTGTCCTGGTACATGTATTTCTTATTTTTTTTTAATTCCAAACACCTAACAGTGTCAATATATAGGAGATAATCAATATGTTTATGAAGAAACTAAGAAGCTGCAAGTTTTCTGACTTCTTACCTCCCTACATAAGAACAAACTATAATTCATCTTCCCATCTATGCAAAAATCAAATTTAACAGTCAAAATGATGCTAAATTAATATGAAAATCTAGATAATTACACTATTTAGAACATAATGAAAATATAAACATTAAAGAACTGTATTCATACATCTACCTTATATGTTTAATTTTCTAAGACCAATATTTTTCACTAGCTGCCCCCTGCTGGAATTTTATGGAAAAATATAGTTCTAAGTTGTCACAAAAAAACTTTTAAAAACAGAATGCCTAATTCTATTTAGATCACATGTGTGAAAATAGTACCACTGGACTTTGGTTATTCCAGCACTTTTAGTAAAGAAAACAGTATGAACCATACTCTATCTTTAGAACAAACTATTCGGTAATTTCTGATTCTTCCTAATCCTTTTTTATTTTTTTAAGATTTTATTTTTTTATTTTTAGAGAGAGAGGAAGGAAGAGAAAGAGAGAGAGACATCAGTGTGTGGTTGCCTCTCACACATCCCCCCACTGGGGACCTGGTCCGCAACCCAGGCATGTGCTCTGACTGGGAATTGAACTGGCAACACTTTGGTTCACAGGCCATCACTCAATCCACTGAGCTATACCAGCCAGGACTAAAGCTTCCTAATTCTTAAATAGCTCAACTTAACTAGACAGGGAGAACAGTAGGTTGTGTTGCATGGGAGCATATCTCTTAGCAAAGGAGGGAGTTTTGGTTTTTGTTTTTGTTTTTTTTAAAATTTTATTTATTTACTGACTATGCCATTACAGTTGTTCTATTCCCCCCTTCATTCCCCTCCACCCTACCCCCCCGTCCCCATCATTACCCCCCCTTTAGTTTATGACCATGTGTCTCAAGTCCTTTAGATTCTATATTTCCCATGCTATTCTTGCCCCCCCCCCCTCTATTTTCTATCTACTGTCTATGCTACTTATTTTCTGTACCTTCTCCCCCCTTCTCCTAAGGAGGGAGTTTTTGGATAGAGAAAAGAGGGTACATGAGATTGTACATAGATAACAGGAAAATTTGATGAGTATGACTAACATGACAGAAACCAAGTGTGGGAAAGATTTTCAAGGAAGAGGAAGTGTTTAACCCCACCAATTTACAGAGGCCATGTTAAGTACTAAAATATGACAAACAATTACAACATCACTGGTGAACAAATTTGCAATATAGTTATCTTACTCTAACAGGGGAGATAAATTGGTAAATAATCAGAAAGGATTACAGAAAGAAGTTTGTTGGGGGCACCAAAGTTGGAGTGGTCAATAAGGATAGAAAGAGGTATCAAGAAACATTTAATTGAGGAAATAAAAAATACAGAAATGCTGAGGGTAATGGAACCACTAAAAGGTGGTGTCCCCTATTGCAACGCCCAATTCTTGGTTATTTCCAGAGTCTAGTGTAACCCTGGGAACTCAAGGAAGACCACACTTCCTCTAGGAAGAAACAAAAAGTATCACATCATTTTTTAGTCAAATATTTTAGGAGGAAAAGAAACATGGTCTAGATCTCAGGCACAGAAAAGGAGGACCAAATGGAGTAGCACCCTAGAACATAGATGCCAATCCTTACTGTAAGGGTCAGGCCAGACCCCCAAGTGCCAGACTGCTAGTGACCCAGTCAGGCCGGTTTCCAACCCTCTGGACTGCCTATGACTCAGTTGTCCTCACTGGCTTGGTAGCCCTCCGCCTAATTGAAACCCTCTCCCGCTGCATACAATAGACAACTGGCGCCAGCCACAACAGCCAGTGGCCAACTGACCCACTGTTCAGGCTCACATCCTGGAACCCTGAGGCATCCGCCTAGAAGAACAAGAGACTAACCCTTCCCCAATCCCTTCACAAACCCCACACTTTTTCTTTTGAAAACTCCACTCTTGCCTTCCCCCAGTGCTGAAGTCAACCCCAACTCAGCTTGTCTCTCAGCGCAGCATCAAAGGCCCTTGGATCAGATCACCTGGTTCCTCCCACCTCAATTTCTCACACTTTTCTAACATTTTGGTGCCGAAACCCCGGGAGGACTGTGATTGAAGCTCACATGCCTGACCTTTGCATCCACACCAGTGAAATCAACTAGGGTAAGGTGTATGTCTGTCTCTCTCATCTGGCCACTCTCCTTCTCTGTTCTGCTGTTGTCCTGGACAACATCTTGAAAATCCCAGTGCTGGGTGAAAGTCACTGCCTGCCAGGTCTTGGACCCTTGGGAGTGAGAAGGAAGATGGGACACCTCCTTGTTTGTCCTACTGTAGGGAGATCGGGCTTGCTCCCTCCCCCGCCTCAATCTTATTCTCCATAAAGGGTGAGGGCCAATTGCTGCCTCCCTGCAACAGTCCTTTGGAGTATCCGCTCAAAAGTCTGAAAGACCTAGGCTTAGAAATGTACCTTAAATGCAAGAGACTTATTTTCATCTGTAACATGCCCTGGCCTCAATATAAGCTGCATAATGGGTCCATTTGGCCAGAAAATGAGACACTTGACCCTCAAACCCTCATAGACCTTGAAAATTACTGTCAGCATCTGGGCAAGTGGACCAAGGTCCCCTACATCCAGGCCTTCTCTGAGCTGCACAGACGGCTCCCTATGCCAGACCTGTCCCACCTACCGAATCCTTCTCCTCCACTCTCCCCTTCCTCAGCAGCATCCATCTGTTACCAGCGCCCTGGCAGAAACATCTTTTGACCCCTCTGGGGACTCTCTTCCCCCTCCCTATGCATATCCCCCTCCTCCATCTGACTAGGCTGTGGCAGATGGCACCTCCCTAGGTATGCACCTCTCTAGAAACAGCAGAGGTGTTTACCAAGACAGGGGAAATCCTAGCTACACTCTAGGAACAACAGGGGTAGCCCTCCAAAACCAGAGAGCCCTAGACCTACTCAGAGCAGTGGAGGGAGAAACATGTCTGTATCTCAGAGAAGAGTGCTGTTTCTATGTTAAATCAGGCCAGGTCCCAAAAAACATTCAGGGTATACTGGAGTCTGCTTCTAAGATCAAGAATCTGAGTCCCTCCATAAATCCTCATTCCTGGCTCCCCAGCATAACCTTGCTACTGCCTTTCCTAGGACCCCTCTTTTCAATACTCCTATTCCTTATGCTCGGGCCATGTATCTTTAAAGTGCTTGTAAAGTTTGTACCTTCCAGGTTGGAGCAGTACAAAAAACAAATAAGGGCAGTACTTGTCCTTCAACATTATCAACCAGGGCAAGAACAAGCCCAAGCACAGCTCATGAAGATGGCTTAGGGACACCTCTACGACCCTGCCCAGGCGGAAGCAGTTCCAGAGGACAGACCTTCACCCATTTACCCTCAGCCTCACTAAAATAATAAAATGCATCCTCAGATGTGAGGGTCAGGCCAGACCCCCAAGTGCCAGACTGCTAGTGACCCAGTCGGGCCGGTTTCCAACCCTCTGGACTGCCTATGACTCAGTTGTCCTCACTGGCTTGGTAGCCCTCCACCTAATCGAAACTCTCTCCTGCTGCACACAATAGACAACTGGCACCGGCCACAATAGCTGGTGGCCAAACTGACCCACTGTCCGGGCTCACACCCAGGAACTCTCAGGCACCCACCTGGAAGAACAAGAGACTAACCCTTCCCCGATCCCTCCACTAACCCCACACCTTTCCTTTTAAAAACCCCACTCTTGCCTTCCCCTGGTGCTGAAGTGGCCCCTGACCAGCCAACCTCTCAGCACAGCATCAAAGAAAGGCACCTAGATCAGATCGCCCATTCCTCCAGGCTCGACTTCTCGCACAATCAAACAATATTTATCAATTCATGGATTATAGTAAAACTGATATTCCAGAGCATATGTCTCCCTAACTTAATATATCTCATTAAAATGAACCCCAAACCACTCATATCTTCTCTCTCTGGACTACTGCATCCGCCTAACTGATGTCCCACATCTATTATTACTCTCTTCCAATTAACCTCCACACAGAAACAAGTGTTTTCAACATGAAAATCCTGTCATGGCATCACACCACTTAAGACCCTTCTCTGCTTCCCTGGGTATTAGGAGAGAGACAAAAATCTTTAACGTGGCCGACAGACCTGCCTAGCTCTCCAGGTCACTTCCCCACCATGCTCCCTTCGCTCCCTTCCTCTCTCTTCCCACTTCATGCGACCACTCCTTGCACTGAAAATGTGCCAGGCTCCTTAACACAGAGCCTTTGCACATGCCGGGGCCTTTCCCTAGAGTTACCTTCACCGAAGTAACTCAGCCGTTAAGTCAAACTAGCTCTCCCTAACCTCCTGCAATAGGTCAGATCTTGTTTCAAATTTAGTACTACACACCAATATCCTTCTTCTACAGAGCTTATCACAGCTGCGGGTTCACATTCAGTTCTACAATGCTGTAAGTAATGTCTCTCCTACCAGTAATCCTAAATGCCATGAAAACAGGGACCATTTCTGTCTTTGCTAACTCTGTGTATCCAGGATCTACTACAGTGACTGCTACATGCCATCTGTTGAATTAATGGAACAGTAAAAAACTGCAGTATATTTAATAGACTTCACGCATTAAAAGTACATAGTATTTTAATAAATAATTATGCTTAGGATTCTGGTGTTACCAGTTTCATTTAACATAGCCTAAAATAGCAAATGTATATATAAAATTATATATGCAATCTCAAGGACTCTTCAAGTGCATTCTTTTTGTTAATGGAAAGACAGCTTAAAAAAAAATTGGGAAAAGGCCCCAACATATAACAGTCTGAACAAAAGCCTAAAACAGAATCACTAATAAAAGTCTTTAATCTCTTGTCACTTACATATATATTTCCTCAAGGCTATTAGATAAATCTGCACGTTCTTGTCCTTTAAGCCAAGGAGCACTAAAATTTAAAAAGACAATAGAGAAGATTATCTGAGGATCTGTTTATATCTCAAATATAAATTCTGGATTATCTCACAAATAGTTTTATTTTACTTTTTAAAATTATCTATTTTCATTAAAATATTATCTTACAAAATATTATCTTAAATCAATACAGTTCAAAAATGCTTTCATTGACATTAACTCATCTAGTCCTCCCAAGAAACCATGATGAAACCGATATTAATATTAGTCCACTAAAATATGGTTTAAAAACACAAGAGTGAGTTCACGGGATGTCATAAAACTGTTCGAGTTTACAGAAGTGGTAGAACAGGTTCCAGAATCTAAATGTCCAGATCCAGAGTTTTTGACACACTATCAGCAATTCCCAACGTATTCTAACTGGTGTCACAAAAACAACTCTTACCAATAAGCATTGCCACAGGACTGTAAAGAATTTAACTTTTTCTGAAAAGGGTATTTATGTTTACAAGCGTTCTATAATTACATCTATCATTTTTAATTAATAAAAATGTAAGACACAGGCCCATTATGAACAGCAAATTTTATTGCTATGCTTGTAAAACATTCACACTAAAAACAATCCCACTGATGGCAACGTTAACCAAAGGTTACTTGCAATCAAACAGGTCATGATTCATTAAGATCAATAAGCTTTGGCTGCTGAGAAGATGACTCTAAACAACGGCAGGAAGAAGCACCGGAAGCACCGTGGGAGGCAGGCAATCTTAGGCAGAGCCATGCCAAAGAACTGCAGTAGGCCTATGGCAGAACCAGATTAGGAAAACTCTACGGGCCACGGTGTCTAGATTACCAGTTTGTCTAACGTTCCCTCCCCAACTCTACAGACAAATACTAAGTGACATATTTCACTGTTTTTAAAGAACTTAAATTTTTATTTAAATGCTCTATACTGAGTCCAAAAGGTATTTTTAATTTCTATACACATTTTGACAATTTTGTTTTTTATAAACATTTTGACACATTTTGTTTTTTTTATAAACACAATTACATAACATAGAGAAATAATCCTTGAAAAGCCTAACTTTTATAAAAGTATAAATGTAGAAAATAGAGCTTACTTAAGTTGATAAACTGGTGGAGCTGTACCTGGATATTCATTCGGTAGCATCACCTAGAAAATAAGGGTGAGGAAGACAAAGATGAAGGAAAAGAAAAACTGAAATAGGGTCATTATACCCTAACTCTAAATGAACGGAGTGGCATTATAATATGTTCCAGGGATTTTTCTGAAGAAATACTAAAAAAATTCTATTAAATTCTGTTAAATACATTATTAACTGACACACAATGGTACAGCTTTCTTTTCAAAATAGTACTATAAAAATAGATACTGACAAAAACTCAATTTAGCATCTCTTATGTTGAAAGAATAGGCAGTGATCAAAGAATAAGCATTAAAACAGAAAAGCATATTGATCTTTTCATTTACTTAATCCTAACCACAACTGATAATTAATAGAGAAATGAGTATCTACTCTATGAACCATCTAAATTACTTACCTATTCTTCCTCTTAAATGTTAGCTATCTTCCAGGTTTAGATCCTCTCCTATTAAATGGACACGCTAATGAAAGGAAGTGAAAGTCAAGTCTGTCAATGGTACATTAAGAATACTCTAAGCCCTGGCTGGTGTAGCTCAGTGGCTTGAGTACCCACGTGTAAACCAAAGGGTCTCTGGTTCAATTCCCAGTCAGGACACATGCTTGGGGTGCAGCCCAGACCCCAGTGGGGGCCACCTGAGAGGCAATCACACACTGATGTTTCTCCCCCTTTCTTTCTCCCCCCTTCCCCTCTCTCTAAAAATAAATAAAAATCTTTTAACAAAAAAATACTTTAATTAAAATTGAGAGGAAAAATTGAGACTACCAATTAAAGCATGACTTGAGAATGACCTGAGATTTAATTACCCATATGTTTAGATGATCAATAGTTAACAAAAGCTAATAACAAAAAAAGACTAGAAAAGTCACACAATAGTCATTAGGGAAATACCATCCATAGCAGTCAATCATATAGAGTCAATGTTGTAACTGGTAAACGACTGTAATGAAGGGGGGAAAATACCTGCAAGCAAAGTGTCCACTTAGGGTTATCTATATCGTCGCTAATTCTAATACAAAATATTTTGGCGCAGTCATCAATGACACACCATTCCTCGCCATATATAGCGGCCATTGCTTCAATTTCCTCATTCTGAAAGAAGTTGATAAGGGAAAAAAAGTCAATAAATATACATTTGCTAAAGACCTGAGTTTTCCTTGTTCCTTTATAAAGCATTTGCCTTTAACATTACTCTCTGGATGAAGGATCCCTCAATGAACAGTATTGAACGCTCTAACAGAGAGTCGCCGTGTTCTAGCGGGTGCCAGACATTATCGTGAAGACTGGAACCAGCCTTGCTACCACACTCTGCGTTTCCGACCGCAACTGAGGCAAAATAAGTCTGTGAAATAAGTCACAGTGAAAGGATAAGCGCATCTTCTCTACGCTTATCGTTTCAACAGGTAATCCACACCCCCACTCTAGCCCTATAGTCCTTCTGGGTATCTCCTTCGTTGTTTTGGATTTGAGCACGAGAGTGGGTGGTTGGTTTGGGTTGGTTTTTTTTTGTTTTGTTTTTTTTTGGTAATCAAAAACTTCGTAAATTATTCTTTTGGTTTGGAATTAAAAAAGGAAAATAACCCAATCTGAGGGTAAACTGGGAAGCAAAGCATGCATTCAATTTCTTATCCTCTCAGTTTGTCCTCATAGCTCGGTATGAAAAGCTATTAAGGACGCCCACGTGAGCCACGCACGAAAGAAAAGCCAATACCAAGAGAAAATGAGTCAGGAGACCCTCAGGTCTACTGGAATACCAGGCCTTGTGTTATTATTGCGCGTTTTTGCAAAGGCAGAAATCGGGATTACCAAGGTGCCCCAGCGGCGACAGGGCAGGGAGCAGAACCCGGGTTTCTGTCTCCAACCCTGAGCTGCTCAGTTGCATGCTGATGGTTGACCATGACATCGTCTGGGCAGGCCTAGACGGCAGATGAACTGAAGTGAAAGAATAAGAGCCGTGAAAATGGAACGCGGTGGAGCAAACAGCGCAGCTAACAACGGAACCGCGGGCGGCCCCGAGCATAGGACCCCTCAATGGAAAAAAACGCCCCTGACGAAGAAGTGAGGCTAAGCCTTGAGTGAAGGTCCATGCCGCTCAGGGGTCTCACCTGCCTCTGGTCGCTCCCAGTGTCCACCTCAGCCATAGGACCCCAAGAGCTGCTGGCCATAGCTAGCTCAGGTCAGAAATGCGGGGGCGGGGTGTTGCCGCAGATAATCTGGAGCTGGCGGACCCGGAACTGCAACCCGAATGCGTCACGCAGCCCACATCTGCTTCCGGGTTGCGGGCCAGGTAGTGAAAGGGATTACGGGTGGTTGGGACCCCCAGTCCTGCTGTGTCCACCCACCATATTCTTCCCCCGGCGAACCTCCAGGGAAACTGTTCTTCCCGAGGGGTGGCTAGAGACTTGGGCTCCTTCTTCTGAAAACTCGCTGGATCTGGGGGCTTCTGCTCGCCACCTGCAGCCTCGGCACCATTGAACCCCCCACGAAATGTTGGGGAGTACGGTTTACCGCCACTTCCCAGGAAGGGACTCGATCTCAGGCCACAGCACCAGACTCGTCTTTAAGGCAGAGGTTTTAACATGTATTGTCTGATTTGAACAAGGATGGATTTGATTTACCAAAAACAGGACAGAAGAGGACACTTTTGAAAAAGCATTCAGGAAAATAACTTTCATACAAGACACTAGTTATTTATATCAATCAACATAGGGATCATTGTTTCACTATGCAAAAAAAAATTGAATCATTTTGTGTCATTCCCCGCCCCCCACCCCGTTCCCATACATACATTGCATTAGTTGTGAATTATATCAGGCATCTTATTAGAGACACCTTATTTAATCTCTTACAGGATAGACATTCTATCCCCTTTTGTCACTTTCTTCACACATACACAAACAAATCTCAAAATATTACAATTTTCACCTCTCCCGTATTCTTTAAGCATGGACATATTTTCATTTCTTCTTAAAACTTTTCTGAGACAAGGGTGCATGTAAGTACCTGTACAGAATTCCGCCTGCATTGCACTAAGGGAATCTGATATAAGTCTTGTGGGTTCATTCATTCATTCAACAGACATTTATTAAGCACTACTGTGGCGCTAAGCTTTGAAGATGCAGGATCTGAAGTTATGCATTTTCTCTATGGAGCTAGGATTTGGGGGAACAAAAGCAAATTAACATCAAAATGGACTAGAATTATGTCCAAGTATTGTGTTTTTAGCACAAAGAAGGGTCATTGATCCAAATTTTATTGGGCTTCTTGTTCCAGAGAATGCTTGAGTTCAGTTATAGAAGAATAGATAGAAGTTAGCTAATTGAGGAAAAGGAGGGAAGTTGTTCCAGATGTAGAGAAAAATATTGGCAAAAAATTGTGGCCCATTTAAGGAACTTTATGCAATTCATTGCCTCTGACATCACAGCTGTCAACTTCCTCTTGTCGCATGGCATAACTCCTTGTGACTGTCTCCATAAAACATGCATGTGTGCATTCATTTTGGTTCTAAGAGAGGGCTTGGAGGGCCTTAGCCCTCTGTGATGTCAATCACATCCCCTTCCTTCCCAACGAAGCTTCCAACCATGGAATTTCTCCTCTAGGTGAGGAATTTGCCTGGAAGTGCTGAGGGGTTTAGCTATGGTACATCTGCGGGTTGCCTGAAAACTTGCTCAGTTATCATCCTACTACTACCTAGATGCCCATCAATTGTTAAGCAGCTTTCTTTTCTTTTTTCAAACTGACCTTGTCTGTCACTGATTTCTTTATATGTCTTACACCCTCTGTTACACAACAGAGTGGTTTTCACACTTCAAAAAGGCCATGAACCCTTCTTCAATGAAAGCTTATGTAAAACAGATTAGGTTGCTCTGGATGAAATAATGGTGATGGGCCTGAAGTCCCAACCACTCAGCAACCCTCCCTCCCAGTGGCCTCTCCAAGAGTTATAACCAACTTCGGTATGTAGTTGGGAGATGGGAGGAAATGAAAGTGAAATTTTTGTGTAGTTTTTTAAAAATTACATAGTTTTTCTTTAGCCTTCTAGTGAACTATGTATGAAATGTGAGGGCTTTAAGTTTTGTACAAGAAACTTTTATTTGTATGCTATGCATAACACTTCACTTATGGGCCACTGTCCTATCATCAAATACTTAGTCTAGAATGCATGTTAAGGAAAGTAAAACTGTAATGGGGAAAAAAAAGTTTAAACCCAAATTTGAAAACTACCCCGTTGAAATGTAACAGAAAACAACGAACAGCAAAGCTTAACCTTCCAGACAAAGCACATATATCCAGTTTATCACACAGTCCCCCTCTTTTCTTATAAGTTCAACTAACTAAATTTGAAGATTTAATTGACTTTATTAAGTGATCCATGAATTAAGGAGCATCCCACCTAACAACTAGACGGGTACTCTGACCATTGTACAAAATGGGAAGTTTTTATAGGTAGAAAGAGGGTAGGACTAAGAAGTTTTAAAAGTGACAGGGACATTAGAGGAAGGCAAGGCGGTCTTATCACACAGGTTTTCTCACCAGTGTTTTCTCAGGAAATTTTAGACTGATTGGTGATTGGTTTAAAATTTCACTTGTGGGAGAAGCTAAAATTGCAATTAGGTTAGTTATTAACTTTGTTTTGGTGCCCTGGCTTAGCAAAAGTGACTCTATTATAGGCCCGTTTGTTTATTAAAGGTTGTATTTATTTATTTTTAGAGAGAGGGGAAAGGAGGGAGAGAGAGAAGGAGAGAAATAGCAATGTGTGCCTGCCTCTTGAACACCCCCTACCAGCGATCTGGCCCGCAACCCAGGCATGTGCCCTGACTGGGAATTGAACAGGCAACCCTTTGGTTCACAGGCCAGCACTAAATCCACTGAGCCACACCAGTAAGAGCTGAACCTGTTAGTTTTTTTTTTTAACAGTAGCAACCAAGTTTCTCTTTCCTCTCCCAGATTGTACCCATGATTTTCTATTAATTCCTGTTTCTTTTAGCCAGAGCCTCTAAATCTTCTATTGAGTTCAGATTCTAAACAGAAATGACTGACAAAGGGAACTGAACAAAATCCTCCCTTTTTCTCTGAATGCCAAGAAAAACCCAAAACTCAGATATGCAAGAGAACTTTGGAAAGAGAAGAGAATTGGTTACTAAAGGAACAAGTGTACCGGGCAATCAGAATATAATGGAAGAAAGTAAGACTGTAGACAATTCAGTTGGGAACAAACCATGAGTATGAACTTGGAGCAGTTGCCTAAACAGAGCCTGAGAATGGTCTGCAAATAATAACATAGGCTTGGAAATATGAGGTGTCTCTAAGCCAAACTGCCAATTTCCACATTTATTTACCCAGATAGTTCCTGGATGTCTCACTCAAACTCATTATTTTAAAACTGAACTCATTATATTTCTCCCTAAGCCTGTTTATCCTCCTGCCTTTCTCATTTCAGTATTTGACAACCCCTGCATTCCTGCATCAATAATTGCCCAAGCTTGAAACCTGGAAGAAGCACTCCTCTTTTTCACTCCCTCCATATCCATATAGCCAGTTCCAACGATTCTGATTCCTTATGTCTATGTAAGAAACACCCAAACCTATGGAGAATTTGTATGGGTTTATTTGAGCCAAACCAACGACATTGCCAGGAACCAAGATCTCAAATGCTTCAGAGAGTGTCAGTGTGGCAGTTTCTTTTGTACATTTAGGATTATGGAAAGAACACAAGGAAGATGACGAGAAGGTGGGAGAAAGCAAGGTACAGGATCGTTAATAAAATTATGTTCTTCCATGGGGGTGGTTATGTGCTCCCTTTGAGGGGACTGGAAAAGGGAATTCTTTCTGGCATTTCAAAGGTATGTTAGGGGCACAAGAACAGAGGACAGGGCTTACTTAAAAACCTTTCACTAAAAAAGTTATCAGCCTGGGCTGTGATGACCCATCATGACCTGCCCAGTTAGGAATTTATGATCAGATCACTGCGTGAGGTTACTTTTGGTTAGATTCATTATAAAGCAGTTTATTTTCATCCCACTTAATATGCCTGTATTCCTCCTATCTTCTGTCCTAGTCTTTCGGATTCCATCTGGGGCCTCTCAGGCTATCTTCCTGTTGGGGAAGGTGATTTTCCCTTCTACACTTCTAGGTTCTTCTGGCTGGCCTAAGAATTAAATTGACAATAGGCAGATTACTAGGAGAAAATACAATTTCATTTGGTACAAGTGGGAGCTCCATAAGAATGCGTGGCCCACAGGCAGTCAATTAAATAGAAACCATCCAGAGCTAAGGAGAAAGGGTTAGGCATCTGGGACATAAAAAGGAAGGAAAGCACTTCGTGTGGAGATGAAAAATCCAGTGTTAGCCTTGCCCTGCAGAGACAACGGGACACAGAGAAGGCTTAGATCTCGAAGCCCTGCCCATGCCTAGCCAATATTCTTTGTAGATTTATCTGGTGGCAGAGTTCTTCCAGGACCAGGTACAACTCCTTTATCTAAATTCTTTTAGGCAGTTAAGGGAGAGGCAAAAGCTTTTCCTGCAGTTTTGTTTCTTAAAAATAATCAGCCTAAAAGAATTCTTACATTAAAGAGACATCATTTGAGGTGGCAAAGTCCTGTTTCCTACACCCCTCATCTCTGCCAGAGTAATTATTCGAAGTGTGCGAGTCTTCTCCGTGTCATTTCTTCCCGGAAGTCCTTACTTGCTCCCCAAACATAGTAATACACAAGGGATGTTCCGGGCCACTTCTCTACTTTTATCTCCCACTCTTTCAGCCAGACTAGCCTAATATATCTTACTAAAGCTTTCTTTCTGATTAAAGAATTCCATGGCTTTAGGGGGGAAAAGTATGAAAACTGCTATTGGGCCCTGCCTGGGTAGCTCAGTGGGTTAGAGCATCACCCCAGTACACCCAGTTTGCAGGTTTGAGCTCCAGCCAGGGCACAAAGAAGAAGCAACCAATGGATGCATAAATAAGCAGAACAAATCTCTCTCTCTCTCTCTCTCTCTCTGTCATCAATAAGTAAAAATAAATAAATAAATTTTAAAAAAGAAAAATACTAATTATGCAATATACCCGGTATAGGGAATTGGATTAAAATATACAAAAAGACCAATGCCTGGAGTGAAGGAAGAGAAGAACAGACCTGTTTAATGACAGATGGTAGCTACACGGTATTAGAGTGATAACTAC